CCAAGACAGAGTTAAACAGTCACAAGGTCTAGTTCAGAAAAGAGATTCCCCTCCCCACATCACCAGTGCAGTATGAGGAGTGTCACAGGCTATGAGAAGGAAAATATAACCACTGTGGTACTCCCTGTGCTGCAGATCTGCCTGAGCCTTTGAGCAGCAGCACAGCCAGGATCACACATTCTTTCAGGAAGAGATATATTCTAGTCCTGATCCTGGAGTTTCCAGGAAAAATCTCTCCATCTCTCATGGTGGAATTGGAAGACCACAACAAAGCCCTGAAAGGTGGCAAGTAGCTGGGAAGATGAGTTTATGGATTGTTTCTAATTTTGAAAGAAAGTCAGCTCTATAAAATTAGAAAATTTTTGCAGCCATACAAGCTGCTGAGCTAGCTAGTGTCACTTATCCTAAAGCACTCCCAGAAACCAAACGTTTCAGAGAAAATATCCCTGGCTTCCTGTCAGTATGTCCATACAGACCCAAAGGACTTCCAGATGGCATAAAAGCAGGAAACATGGTAAAGCTACATTCAAGAACCTCAAGAACTTCCAAACTGCTGGGACTGCTGTTTTGTGATTTACAGTGCTCACAGTATATATGAGTACTGTCCAATACATAAAATTGTGTTGTTCTTTTTCCTGAACATAAACATCAGCATGTGTGACCCGAGCCACTAAAGCAAAAGGAGCCGAGTGTAGCCTGGCTGGCCTGCTGCCTTCTCAACTCTTCTGGACATTCAGAAACACCCTGGAGCCTCCTTAGGCAACTCATCCTGGGCCCAAAACACACTTGTCCCCCTCCTGTGCACGCTGGTCTTGGTTTACCTTCCTGCTTTCCACTCCATCCCTGACACTACAAATGAGAACTCCAGATGCTTCCAGGGGGAGATGATGCAAACCCAAGGAGGCAGCATGGAAGCTGAATGCTGACACAAGGCTGCATGGGACCCACTCATCTATTCCAGATACAACAGCTCCATTTGCTGTACAGAAAGGCTACAAAAATACGGCTGTTTTGCTGTGTTCAGATTCTTATACAAGGTCTTCCTATATTTGAATGTCCCAGCTGAGATCCTTTGGCACAGACTTATCATTTGTGGATCAGGCTAGTGGGAAGCTTTACACATTAAAACCTGGTTTGGGGAGATTTTTGGCCACAAGGACTAAGAATTTCTCATCAGGGAACAAGTATAAGCACAGTTTCCAAGTCCCCCACTCCACACATTACCAGATGTGTCACAGTCTCACTCTCAGTGCAAAATACAACAAACAACTATCACTGTGCTGTCCATTTCTCAGAATTTTCACTGCATTTCTGCCATTTTTACAGCAGAAAAGGCAGTAAGGTGACAGAAGACACTGACAGCAGGCAATTCAGAAGGGAACAGCATAGACCCTGAATTCTGTATTGTGATCCTCCAGCCAGTAATTCAATACAGATTATAGGAATACAGTGCCAGACTGAAAAACATCTATGCCATTACCCTGCTGTGACCACCACAAACACAGCAAGTGTGCAGCTACACTTCCTAGAATACTCCTCCTGCCTCCAAGAAGTCTTGTCTGGCTCACAACACAACCACAGTGTCTCTGGGTCATCCACCAAGTGACTGCTCCAGGATTACAGCCTCCCTGTGCCCCTCAGAGGTCACCTGCAGCAGAGAAAATACCCCCAGATGATTTTAAAGCTGCATACAGGATCCTTTCAGGAAAGCTGTGTGGCAATCCCTACAAGGGCTCAGCTCCCTTGTCCCTCTACAGGCAGCAGAAGGAAGGTCTGGAAGGTTGTTCACAACCTGGCAAGCACTGCCCTCCCTGCTGCTGTGCCCCCTTGGGCTGGTAGCTCTAAGTCCTGATGCCACCTCCCTGCCAGCATAATTTATGTCCTCAGACAGACAGTCTGGCTTGGCCTCGCTTCTCTACACCAGAGTACCTGCAAAAGAAAACAGCAGGGAGGAGACTAGCAACAGGATCAAGAACACTCAGGCTTACTGGAAAGCTGCTGCTGAAGCTGTCGAACCAGAGCAGCTGTTTGCTGCTGCTGCTGTGTCTGCTGAAGGCCCTGGCGCTGGAACTGTAAAGAGAGAAACACAGTTATAGCCACACCACCTGGCTGGCAGCCTCAGCATTCACACAGCCCTGGGAAGCTCAGGGAGGGAGAAAGGGGGAGCACTGCTGCATCTGTGCTGGACTGTCACGTCCCTGTGCCTCCGGGGGAACACTCACAATGGGCTGCTGGGGGGGAAGAGCCTGCATCCCCAGCCCCGGGGGCTGGCCCTGCGCCTGTGGCTGAGGCACTGTGGACACCTGGGGCTGCTGCTGGGGCTGGGGCTGTGGTGGCTGGGGCTGCTGCTGTTGTTGTTGCTGCTGCTGTTGTTGTTGCTGCTGCTGTTGCTGCTGCTGCTGTGAAGACAAAAGAGAAGGGACCATCAGGGCAACGCATACAGCAACGGGGCACACCGAGGGCTAAGGGAGGAATGACGCTCCATGGAGTAAAACACCTCATGCACCATTTTCCTTACAGCTACCTAAATTACTCAAATTTCACCAGGACTCCACCCCAGGCTGAGAAATGGCAAGAAATACAGGGACAGCAACAAAGTTTTCTGCAAGATGAGGTATTGACAGATGACAGGAAGAGAACTCCGAGTCTACTGGTTATTACTAGGAGCAAACAAGGTGCAAGAATAGAAAACTAAGGACTCAAAAGGCTGGCTGCTTCATCTTTTGTCTCCTGGTTAAGATCAGCAATAATGAATAATGAGTATTTGCCTGACTCATTCTCAGATTCTTTTCAGAGGTAGCAACAGAGCTCCTATAATCTCCTTACACAATCCACTCCAGGTCAGCTCCTACTACTGGAGTTTTCCCTAATCTCTACCCTGAATTTCACGTGTTGTGTTTTAAGGCCATTTCTGGTCCTACAGCCTAGGGATAAGAAGAGATAAGGTTTTTTAAAATTTCTTTTTAAGATAAAAAATTTAGAGACTTATCTCTCCTGTTGTCTTTGTCTCTCTAATGCAACACATCCAGCTATTTCAGACTTTCCTTCTCAATCATGTCCCCAACTCTTCAATCTATCTTGCTGTCCTTTCCTGCCACTCATGACAGCTGGTGTTACACTTCAATAAAAGGATGTGGATAAAACTGGATTCAGTGCTCAAAACCAAATGTTTACAGAATTAGTTATGCTGAGAAGAATATTCAGTGTGTTAGAGTCAGAACATACCCAGAAATCTCAAGGTTTTTAATTTCTCCTAATTTTCAGACAATTCTCCCATCTGTCAAAGCAGTTTTTAACTCTCTAGATAAAAAAAAAATATTCCTAGCAGAAATAAAAAAAATACTAATGTTATCAGAAGAAACCCAACGTGGTGATGGTAGGTACAGTTCCAGTCACTGGCTCAAAAGGACAAGGTTCAAAACTTGAGCAGACTCAGAAAACAAACAAAAATACAATCAGGAGAAGGAACAGTGTCTTATGAAAGAAGGTTAGAAAACCCTGACCTTTGGAAGCTGCAAGTTCTCCCTAGGAATGTACATTGGGCAAATAACAGTGAGAAAGAACAGAGAAAGAACAGTGGACAATAATAGGTCACACAAGAACCAGTCATGAACACATTGGATCAAGGATTCAATGGACCAAGGATTCAAATTCAAAGGGACTGATTTTCTAGAACAGCCTTCCAACTTATACCAGTTTGGCCACAGGTTCCTGACATGGGTGCTGCAACCTGGGTACACAAGAAAGCAGATGAGTGACTAAATGAGCCAGGATACCAATTTCATGTCCTACCTCCCTGCAGCAGCTGTCTACCAACCCACATAAGACAAATCAAAAGGCCACCCATCATGAAAGCCACTGCATCATGAAAGTCAGCAGGCACAGCTCAGGTAACACAGCAGGAGTCACAGTAATGGGATAGCTTGAGCACTCCACCTTTGTGGGTTTTTTAAGCAACCAAGCAAAGTCAGCTAAAAGCTGAAGGTATACATGAAGTTACTGAGCTAGGAGAAGTGTTAGCAATTTGTCTCAGGCATGTTCTTCTAAATATGAGTGATGGAGAATGCTAAAAGAAACTCAAAGTGAATAGTCAGGGGGTGCTACTTATCAAAAGGACTAAAAGCTGCTGACCATGCCAGAGGCAGTTCTCTTGTCCAGTGCAAGGCAGCAATTCTCAGATACTGCTGACTGCAGCTCTCTGCAGGAACCACTGTCTCGCTCAGGCCACTCTCTGAACAAAAAGACTCAGCCCTCTGTGCCATGTAAAGTCTCTCCATATTCCACAGGTTTGCTAGGCCTTGTCATAAGGCATTGGATTCACCAATTAAACTGTTTGTGTTTCTCTGGTTTCTTTGGCAATTCAATAAATTTCTATAATTCCTAGAAATGTATCTTTATTTCATGTAAGAATTTAATGTTCATAAGATCATAATGCAAATCCATGGAATCCATGTCTGTTGACTCATGCTTTGTGATCTTCTTTGAACCTAGAGAGCTGGGTCTAACAGTTGGCTTTGGATCAGTTTTTCACCATCTGCTGTAAGAAATGGAATATATGGACTGATTCATGCCAGATTTTTTGCCAATGGAAACGAACCAATACTTATTTTGATCTTGAGAAATGCAGATATGCCCCTAAAGATGATCTTGAACAACTTTTCTGCTCTTTTGTGGACAGGGGGCTTTTCACTTTGTTTCTAGCTCCTGCCACACTTGTACAACAGCTAACTTTTTGCACAATCTACTGGCGCAGCTGGAGCAGGAAGAGGTGGGACAGAGGCCAGACACAGAACAGACTTTTAGCTCATGCTGGGTGACTGGCACAAGGCAGTGCATCAGGAATCTCCATCAGGAGTGGCCAGCTCTAAGGAAGGGAGAACTGCCTAGCAAATTACCACAGACAGCCTCCAACAGAGTGACATCCTTCCTGACACAGAGGGGCAGAGGTAAGCAAGCCTCCTCCAGCTCCAGCAGCCTTCCTCCTGTCAGCAACCACTCACCCTCAGCATCTGTTGTTGCTGCTGCTGCCTCAGGTACTGCTGCTGCTGTTGGTCAGGAAGGATCTGGCTGGGTCGAATTCCTGAGGGGACTCCCTGTGGACCCAAATGGTTCATCCCACTCATCATGGGGGTCTGCTGTATTGACTGATGAGGAAACCTGCGAGAGGAAAGGACAAGCCCATGGAGTAAAGGATTCACAGGCAGCCAGCTTTCTTGAATCCAAACACAACTTCTGACATCAATGAGACAGCCCCAACAGCCCCCTGCGATCCATGCTGTCTCTGCAGAAACGTGAGGGACACAAGGGCTTCTCCAGGGTTTAATACAACCTGTTTTTCTAGAAGCCCTAAGTAACAGTCGTCATCCCACTGTTTTGCATGGCTTTCCTGTTGGATTTATGCCTGCTCAGGAACAATGGAAATCTCAGATTTAGCCCTTTGATGGTGATCTGCTGGTTAGATTGGAAACCAAAACTATGACTTTCCCAGGTAATTTTTTCTCATACTTTTCTATGCCATCTTTCTCTGGCTAGTAACACAGTTCCCTGCCTACAGCTATCATTTCCAAATTTCATCCTATTTATCTGTTTCTTTCCTGGACAGCAAGCTGGATAAAGATGTTTCTCTGAGGAAGCAAAGTACAGCATGGAGAACGGGGTTTTCAGTTTGCTGTCAGAGTTGTGCAAGGAGAGCAGGGAAGCCCTTAATGAAATGGAGCTTATTAACATCCCATAGGGCAGGAGGTACCTCTGTGTGTTGCCCAAGGTGTGCCCATAGCCAGGGGCCTGCTGGTGCACGTAGCCACTTGGTCTCTGTTGCATCTGCCTAACAGGATCCACTAGAGCAGGATTGGAGCTGGGGTGGGAATTCTGATAGGGCTGACCAGAATAGGTAGGAGGTACCATCGTGCCTGACTGGGAGGGGTGCTGCTGAAGGCCTATGTGGGAGACATAAGGAGTGTAACCCTGAAATGAAACAAAAAGGCCTTTTTTAGTCACGGGGTGAAAAGGAAAACAGAACATAGGATATCAGCCTCCTGTAAATACTGTCACAGGGAAGCTCATTAGGGAGAGGAGCCAAGAGCTTTCAGGCTGAGCAGCAAGAACAAAGCTGCTGCCCTGTGCTGGAGCCAGATTCCAGCCATACCTGCAGTCACTGCCACTTACCTGGGAGGGCTGCAGTGCTCCATAAGATGGGGTTGGAGCCATTTGGCGCACAGGCTGCTGGCCCATTATGCCCTGGCCCTGCTGGAAGGCAAGAGAGAAGTGCTTTTTCCAACATCTCCAAAGGGCAGGAACACTGCTGCTTCTCTTCTCAGCAGCTCCCACTAAACCAGACAAATGGTTTCACTGCTTAACTTATGAGGTTGCTGCACAGCAGGCACATACTCATGACTTCTGTCTCACCCTGACCAGGGACAAAAAGGCCACTAAAAAACCTGCCACCCCCAGGCAGAACATGCCCCTCTCATTCCCCAGTGACCACCCTGTGACAACCTCCTCCAACTGTTAGTGACAGGGGCCCACAAAGCAGACACAAGAAACAACATATTTCAAGAGCAGATACAGAGTTGGGCAGTTCTGGGTAAAAGGAACAGCACCAAACAGCCTGGCATGCTATCCTGTGGAGTTAGCAACAGCACAGCTCTGACTTACCAACTTTGCTTGCAGCTGCTGCCTCAGTATCTGTCCTTGGGACACTGGAGGCTGCTGCCTGTACACTGCTGGCTTGTAGGAGGGGTCAATGCCCATCATGCTCCCCATCCCTGGAGGCAGCACACCACTGTAGGGAGGGCGACTCTGAACCAGTTTTCCCAGTGGCATGCGTACTGGTCTGTAGGATGTATCCAGGCGAGGGCCACCTGCAAGAGGAAGAGAAACAAGCAGAGCAGTCACAGCTGCTGCTGCACCTCATAGCTCCAGAATGACTGCTCATCACTGTACCTAGACATGACAGACAGAAGGAGAAAGTGCAGGGACCTGCACAGGACCATCTCACAGAAAAGGCTCCCGAAGAGGTGAAATATTTTTGGCTCTCTGGTGCACCTACCTGCTGGAAGAGGCTGATTCTGGGCATAGAGACCCACTGGTGATTGCCCATATGCCAGCCTTGACATGGTGCTTCCTGACTGGTGATGCAAGAGATCCGTAGGCATTCCAACTCCATATGGAACCCCTCGGCTAGGGCCCAGCACGAAGTCCTGCAAAGACAAAGCAGCACGAAAAATCAATGTGCACTGGGAATTCATGAACGGAGGAAGACTGTTAAAGGGTTGAAATGTCCACAGGAGGAAGCCAAGGATGTTATCTGAGCTGGGCAGACTCCTTTCCTCCCATCAGGGATTAAGTGTTTGCCTTGCCCCAAGCTAGAGAGAGGAGGACAAAGCTCCAGTACTCTCAGCTGAGAGGAAACACATCACATCTTCACCATAACACCACTCTCAGGCTCCTCAGAAAGACTCTAGGGAGTGTTTTGTGACTAGGAGTGGTGGACATGGGACATCCAGAGCTGCTGGAAACTCCATTACCTCAGTTTTGCTGGCAGATTGGTTGCGTTTCTTGGTTTTGCTCTGTTTTTTCTTGCGTTCCTCAGTGGAGGCGGCAGGATTGGAGCTTGTTTTATCAGCCTTGGCTGGTTCTGCAGTTTTCTTCTCTGGCTCTAAAGCCACAGGCGTAGGAGGCTCTTCCTCTTCGGGAGGCAGTGGCAAAGGCTCCAGGTAGTAACTGCGGGGCTTGGGTTTCAGGTGTGTGTGATACAGAAGAAGCCTCTGCTGCTCCTCGAACCTGGACACCTTGCGATCCACCCGGACTGTCCCAAACCATCCCCAGGAGAGCGGGGCTGAGTGCTTCAAACCCTCAAAAAGATCCCAAGGAGAAATCTTCTGCTTTGTAGAAACCTGCAAACCCTTTAAAGCAAAAGAGATAAGAACCTTCAAGTCCCTGTTGTTGCTCCTACGAGGGTACAGGTAACTCTGTCCTTTCTTCAGGCTCTAATCCAGATCTCTCAGTAAACAGTCTGAGCCCTTGCTAATGGTCCTTGCTCCTCCAGGTGGCAAAGCAGTCATTTCTAAAAGCTTTCATCCACAACTGTCTACTCTCCTTCATTCCATCTCTGCCAGCCTCCTGCACACTGGCTCTGCCATTAACTTACGTGACAGGGATTATGTGTTTCTCTTTACACTTCATATGACCATAAATACAACCCCCAAATTTAGTTAACATCTCAGGTCACAGCAGCATGCTATCACCAAGCATTAACACCCCAGCTTTGCCCTTTTTGGACGTGGTTATGTGCCAGCTTGTCTGCGTGCAGCAAGTCACTTCAGGCTCGTCAGGGAATGAGGCACTGCATACAGATGCCTCCCAAGCTGTGCAGACTTAAGGCATCAGAGGACAAGGTGACACCTGCACTCAGGAGCTGTGATACAGACAAAAATGCTTCACTTACCTCCTTCTTGAAGATGGAATCAAAGCCAGCTATTTTATTGCCTTTAGTGTCAATGAGGGATCCCTGAGGTTCACAGGTGATGACATCTCGGGTCTGCTTGGGAAGTGGCAGGAGCTGTCGCACCTTCTCCAGGCTGTCAGACTGACGGTCCCCCAGCTCCTTCTGCACAAGTGGAACAAAGAGGACTTGAGGAATTTTTCAGGAAAAACCATCCAAAGCCCACCTATGCCTCTTCTGGTTTTGGCCTCCATCCCTGCATTACTTCTCACCTTTGCACTCTTCAGACCTACAGAGTCATAGGGGCCACCCTCACTACTTCATTTAAACAGCAGAAACAGGATAGGCACTGTTCATGAGACACATGAACAAGTAAATCTGCATAGCTGAACAACCACAACACAGCCCAGTCTAGTCCCCACATAGGGGCTGGTGTCCCTCACCCTGAGTTTCTTGACAAGATTCATGTATGCCCGCTTGTTCTCCTCCATGCTGCCCTGAGAGATGCTGGACATATCAGCAGCAAGGGTGCCATTGATGAGAACACTCAGCATGTCCAGCACGGTGGTGAAGAGCTCACTGTTGGTCAGAGCAGAAAGGTCAGTCACCTGAAAAACTGATAAAAAGCATCTGCCATCATTGCAACACCAAACACTATTAATTGTCAAGACTTCCACCCACATTCAGAAGTGTCAGTCCTCAGAATAACCTCCCACACTAATCCTCCTTTTCCTTATACATCACACTTGAGTTTTACTCCCACTTGAATTAGGTGCAGTATCACAGATTAAGACTGGACTCTTCTGTATCCATTCAGCACCTCTGAAAAGCAGACTCAGCTCTCCCTTGTGTATCTCTCTGCATCTGGAAAGCCAAGTTTGTTCTGAATATGGCAGAGTGTACTCAACTACCAGGACCTAAGTCATAGCCTGCTATTACTTCAAAGTCTCTTTCAGCTGTCACTTCTGACAGATCATCTAGAGAAACAGCCAGCTCACATGAGAAACAGGGCCATGCTAACAACTGCCTCTCTTAGAAAGTGTATAAACCAGAAGTCAGAATGCAAGTTACTTGTTTGACTGCATGTCCACAGTGCCACTGCTGATGATGTCCAGGAGAAGCACAGCCCATTCAGTTGTCTGCTGTGTGCTGCGTTGGACTGTGTCGAACATTCCTCCCACCTGGCAGAGAAAGGGAGTCTAGTCACAAGGACACCAAGAAACACTGAGATTTTGAAGTGAGAAAGGAGCTTAAACCAGGGTTAGTTTAAAGGAGCTTAATACTGAGAGCTGAGGGAGACTGCTGTCAGCAGCCAAACCACAGATGCAAGTAGTAGTGCTGTGGGCTGCAAAGGCATTCAAAGGGGAAGGCACATCTACAAAAGAGACCAAGTCTCTAGATTTCATCCTGATGAAACAGAGCAAGGGAGTTTATTCACACACTCTGTCCTACTCAGGGCCCAAGACCTAGAAGCAGCACAAGTGTCTCTCATACTTCCTTGCCTCAGGACATATATAGACCCTCCAGTGGGTGCTTGTTCCAAAGGAAAAAAAGGCAGACAACTCTTCACCCCAGATGGTTGAGCTCTTTTTCTGCAACTGCTCACCAAATTCAGCCGCAGTTTCAAGGCCTCATGCATCAGCTGCTTGGCTTTGCAGTCATCTTGGTACTGATCTTCTCGCCAATTTGTAACAATCTAAGAAATACAGAAGAGAGGACAGACCTCATCAGCTGTATGCTGAAGCTTAGAGAGAGCAGCTTGTACCATCCACTGTCTGGTGTCTCAGAAATGGTCAGCTCAAGCTCCCTGTATCACACAGACTAAGACAAGCAACATCCTGAGGCCATGCTCCAGAGCCTGTCTGCTGGAGGGGCGAGCTCCTGAGGAAAGTGAGGGGAGAAACAAGACCCCTACCTGCTGGACCTGACTGTACAGAGAGGTGAGGAGGCCTTCCCGCTGCTCATCCTGACCTTTCAAGCATGTCAGCACCAGTGACAGAAATGGCTGCTGGCTCAGGAGGGACATACTGTGAGAGAACAGAGAAGGAGCTATACTGCCAGGCTGGCATCAGCACAGCAAACACTGCCTGCCCTTTCCCCTGGACTCACCTCTTCTGCTTCTGGCGGTCCCTCTCTTTGCGGGATGATGACCCTAAATGTTGTCCTTTCTCCAACTCTTCTCCAGCAGCTTTCAGCACATGGCCCTGCACTGATGTTGGAAGCTTGGCAATCAGAGGGGCCACCAGCCACACTCCTGATCTCTCCAGGGAGCTGTGACAACATAGGAGAGGAAAGCTGTTTACAATGCAATTCAAGATGCAGACTTGTCTACAAGAGAGCTGCATGCTGGCTCTACACCTACCTGAGGATGGGTTTGGATTTGTTGCTGGCAGGTGTAGCACTTGTCGAGCTACTGATATTGTTGACTCCATTACCAGTACAGCTAGCAGAGCTGGTCTCTGCTGACTGCTGGAATACCTCAATGGTGGCCTTGGCTATGTTTTCTAACAAGGAGTTCATCTCCTGGAGGTAGGGAAAAAATAAAAAAGACAGTCAAGTCCTTCTCTGAGAGCACCTACAGCTTCCAAATTTCAATTCAGTACAAACTCAGTTTGCCAACTTCCCCATGGCTGCTGCTCCTGGAGTCTCAGACTCATTGCTTCCTTTTTGTGCTTGGCTTTCACAGCCTGACTCCCTCATTTTTTACTTTCTCCCTATCCCCACTTGTGCCAGGCCATCTTCCCCACCAACTCTCAAGCAGCCACTTCATCCTCCCCTGCATGATCCCCTCTGAGCAAAAACTCACATTGCTTGCTGTCTGTTTAATCATGAGCTGCAGCTCCAGCGAGGACTGCCTCATGGTCCACTGGTCCAAATTCTGTAACACACACACATACACACTTCACATAATGCCATATCTCAGTTCAGACTACACCAACCCACACCCTCAGGTCCCAGCACAACGAGTGTCAGACCCCTCAGAGGGCTGCAATTACATGAGGCAATTACTAGGACACTCAGATTCTGCCAGCAGCCTGCACCTGTAAGATGCGTTTAATCCTCTGCCGCTGAGGATTTTCTCCCTCCTCATTGTCCAGGAGGCGGTGTGGATAACAAATCAGCTGCATCAGCCTCTGGGCCTGTGTGCTGCTCAGGACAGGATCCTGCAAGTCATTGCTGTCTTCACAGAGGGACTTGAGACATCGTTCTCCAACCCACTCCTGCAAGACGAAGGCAGAGTCAGCACAGTCAAACTGATGTCTGATTCCAAACCAACGCCCCTGCTTTCAGTCTCAGAGAGATGCATGGAACACATCAAAATCATAAAAGCTTTATTAGTATGCAGTTATGCCTGATAATCATTTCTCTTCATGAACTGTACTATCCTGATTCAGCAGGCGTCAGGCACAGCACAGTAATCAGAACAGAGGAAACAAACTTTGACAAGTCAGCAGTAATGAAACACAGTAGTTGCTCTTTCTTTTGAGAAAATATTGGTGTGATTTAACAGTACACAGTCACTACTGTGTCCAGGCTCCCTCCACACTGCCACTTGGGTTCAGAAGATCAGAAGGGATCACTTAAATTTGTTTGTATTTCCAGCACAACTAATGACTGTAGCTGTCCTAAGTTAGGTAACTCAAGGTTGCAGCTAGCACCAAACCAGAACAGGTCTTGGTGAAAAGCACACACCTTAATTCTCAAATACTGATGGAAAACACACTGCCAAACTTAGAAAAACCAATTACTTTACTTCTCAGACTCTGGAAAGGAAAATGACTGACTGGATGCAAGCCCCTTATAGTCACATATTTATGCTATTATTGTCAGCCTCTTGATTTCAGTTGATGCTTCCTAAATGTATGATAATAATAAGGGCAGCAGTTTCCAAACATGAGGTAGGTACTTCACTCAATTTACAGTTAACCTGCAGCATTTGTTAGTGCAGAAATTTTTCATACTTAAAATTAGGCAAATTCATTAAATTAAAATCAACAGAGGACTGCTATATAAGCACTTCTGCATCTGCAGAGGAAGCCTGATCAGAGAATTGTTCCACTGAGAAGTGACAAAAGAAAAGATGAGGATCCAGTTCATTATGCACAGGTGCTGATTCTATGCCTAGAAAGCTGGAAAGACCTTCAGCAGTGGGTAGCAAACTAAGCACCAAAGCACAAAGACTGAAAATGTCAAAGCTCTGGTTTGAAATCCTTGTGAAACCACAGCCTAGATCATTATCTTCATTCCAGATGAAGTTTTCACATGAGATGTGGTGACCTCTCCACTGCCTATTGCATTTCCCCCTTCAGTGTTGCTACATCACAATCTCTTGATAATAATCTTCTCTTTCTTGCCTAGGTAATACACATTTCCTTGGGAAGACTCTTTTTATCATTTGCTCAGCTTCTTACAAGAACTTAGACTTAATTTCCAATCCACTTTATTGGTATAAAGATGAATGAAAGACATGCTGCAGGGAAGGGATGACATCCAGAGGGAGTTGGGACAGGTTTGAGAGGTGGGCACTGGAACAGGTTGCCCAGAGAACCTGTGGATGCCCCATCCCTGGGAGTGTTTAAGGCCAAGCTGCATAAGGCCCTGAGCAACTTGGAACAGTCAAGGTGGCCCTGCTCATGATCTTTAACATCCATTCCAACCCAAACCATTCTAGGAGTCTATGAAAAAACCTTCAAATTAATTATAATATGCTTCTTTTCCTAATCCCCTCACAATGAAGTCTATTATAAAATGTATACCTGAACCTGAGACTGAGAAATCACAACCTACAATTTAAGGCATTGATAGCACAAGCTCACTGCTCACAGAAGAGGTGCTAATATTAAACACAGCATTTTACCAGCCCTTCACAGCTGCAGGAAGCCTGCAGGAGCTCTGGCACAATTTAGTGGTAACTCATGGGTGTCTGCTGGAATGTTCACTTCTACGCAACCAGTGCTGCCAACAACTGGTATGAGCAGTGATACTGACACTGCTACTCCCTGCTGTGCACAAACACTTCTACTTGCTTCAAGTCCTTCCCAGATAGACTTTGATCAGCAAGGGAGTATCTGCTTCTGTAAATGCTACAGTCAGGTTTAAGTGACATCAAGAATGTTAAATTTATACTTAAAAATAGGTGGTTCTAATTCTTTTTTGGTAAGTTGGTGGCATTGCTATACAGTCAGTCAATTAATAAACAACAGCATGAGGACAACACACAGCACTAATGGTGGGTTTACACATTACTGTTACATTAGTAATATAAAATACAGGTTTCAGATTGTAACACCACATCTTTCCTGCTGAGAGAATAAACCTATAACCGAGGCTAAGGACACCATTCAACATCCATCTTCATACAGCATGGCCACTCTACTCTGCAACATTATTAGCGAGGTTTCAGCTCCTCAAGTGTCAATTTTCCACAAAGGCATAGAAATACTGGTGTTGTCAGATTAGGCTAAGCAAAAGGCTTTTGTTGTCATTGTTTTAATTAACTAATCAGGGCAATGCAAAGCCCAGAGACACATTAACAGCCTAGCTGCAAGCAACACTTAGGCTGCATCCTGAAAGACACCATTTATCATTTTAATAAACCATCTGTCTGTCTTTCTTGTGCTGACCTTCTTTGCCTTCAGCACACATCTCAGCTTACCACTCCCAGCACTCTCCTCCTTGGACACGAGCCCTGTGCTGTTGCCAAAGCAAAGAGGATGCAGTCCCTGCACACTGCAACACCTAGTTCCTGAGCACTGCTTGTCTCTGTTTTGCTAACAGTGAGCAATCCTCAGGACTGTCACTTGACAGAAATATTGCAGGTTCTTCACTGATCTTTCAAAGAAATACGTGCCAAACCCAACCTGAAGAAAGGCATGTGAGATATATGAGGGATAAGGACACACCTAGACATGGGACACTCACCTGTTGACATATACTCCTCAGTACATACTTGGCATAAATATCCAAGCTGGCTGTTTCTACAGTTACTACCCGACCACCAGCCTTCCTGGTGCCCAGCTCATCATCCATGAGATCATCAACACCTCCCGGGTGGGAAAAACCAGAGCCTTTCAGTTCTGCATCTCCTAAAAGATAAGCACAAGTGTCACACAACAACTCTAACCACAAAGCCTGACTCAAAAAACATCCTGAGATTTTGTAAACTCTCCCTGTGATCAGTGACCTCTCTGCAGCCAACACTCAAAGCTGTTTACAGCTACAGACACGCCACATATTCAGCAGAACAGATCTCCTCTGGCCTTCAGCACAGCCAACACGAACAATACCTTGGCCTTTCTGCCACTCCCCTGAAAAACATGGTTATAGGTTCAGAGTAACACAGGTACACACCCAGAACAAAGACAGCCTTCAGCACTGCAAAGACCGCTCCATCCACAATACGATTTTGGGAAGCTGCCAGTAAGTGACGGTCACAGGAAGAGCGGATTCCCACAGTGGGTTTGTCTGCAAAGAGGACAAAGGGGAAAGGCAATAATCAGCAAGAGAGAAAGGCACGGGTTCCAGAGCTGCCTGAATTATGTGCCAGCAAGTACCATAAAATCCAGCTCAGAGAATCCTGAGGCCAGTTCCTTTCCTAACTGTAACATAGGGCCCATTTAATTAAGTTTCAAGAAGCATAGTGCCAATCACATTGTGACAAATGAACCATGAAATCCAAATGGGGTGCAGAGCCTGTGTCATGAACTCCAAGCTCCAACAGTACCCTAGACCTAAAATACAAGCTGGATTTAGAAATCTGAGCTATCAGGATACTGGTGAGAAGCCAAGAACAGAGCTTCCTGGAATGTTTCCATCATCACACAAAAAAGGAGTGCTGTAAAACAGCAGCTTCTGGCACCAAGTTAAGAGGCTATACAAAGCTCAAGACACAAAAGAAGAAGTGATCATTACTCTAATGGCTTAGTGACAGCAAGGCCACCTCTACTGGCTGGTTTCCTGCCTCCAAGAACCTTCTCCCCAGTGCCTGGCTACCACGGAGTGACATAAATGGAAGGACACTGTTCTTTGTCCTATGAAGGAAGTGCATCAGGCTTTGCCTGCTTTATTCAAAGCAAGCAGGTTATGATCTCTAACCATAAGGTCTCATATCTCTTCTTGGGGTGCAAGAGCCTAAGTACTTTCACAATAAAGAAAGGCTCTAGGTTCATTCACTTACTGCCATCTTGCTGGCATGGGTTCAGCTGTGGAGTCTTAAACAGATGGAGTAAAATCCGGCAGGTCAGACGTGCTCCTGGTTCTGAGTCCTGTTCACTGCAGGCTATGTAAAGAAAAGAGACAACTGAGATTTCTTAAGCACCAGGACAGCTGACTCTCAATCCAAAAGCTATTCACAGTGCACTGCCCTGGAGCAGCCAGCCGAGAAGCTGCAGCAGCCTTATTGTATTTACAAATATGGAGCATGTGCAGCAATTAACATGCAAACAAGCAAATCCTTCAGTATTATCCCCAGTGACATGCACTGCTTTCTGCTTGCTCTATCTTTCCAACTTCACCCTGTCAGGAGTCTGGATGCTGCAATCCCCAGAGCAGAGATAGGAAGGCTGGTGACAGAGCAAGGCAGTGGCACAGGTGCTATAAGCCCAGCTAACTGCTCTAGCCAAAATGCTAAGCTGAACATTATTATCAGTGGGAGGCATACTGCTGGAGTTCAGAGCTGAGTACAATGGTCACACAGTGAGGCTGATAACAGCTCCCCATGTTTATTTCACCTCACTCACAAACTCAAAGAGAGTAGGGCAGTGAAAAACCTTAACACAACCAGTTTTTGATAGAAATTAAAAGGTCCAAATTTCTCTAAAGCACCATATTCAGTTATTAACTATAAAAGAAGTATTAGAAGCATAAAAAACTAGAGTTCACCAAGTATGCATTAAGCACAGGCCTTTGGGCCAGAACTGAGAGTCAGACAGGTTTGTGCAGGGATGCACTTACCAGCATTGAGGAGTGAGGGGATAGCAGCACAGCGAATCAGGTCCTCCAGCAGCAAGCACTGCCGGGCAATGAGAATGGCAACAAAGGTGGCCAAGGAATCATGGAAAGATAAGTCACTGACCTGAAAGAGAGGAGATTAGCCAGTGATCCAAACAGCCTCTACCTCATTCCCTCTGTCAGCAATTCCTAGGAGCTGGGTGGCAGAAGGGCCCATAACCCCTGGTCAATGTCCACGGTCTGCCCAGGCTGCAACAAACACCAGCGGTAGCCCCGGGTGTTCAAAGCCTTTTCCCTGCCCTCAGAAGACAAAGCCTCCATCCCTTGTTCACTTTTGCCTTCTCCCAAGGGATCCCTCCACTCCTGCTTCAATTCCTTTTCCCCTTTTGAATGTTTGCACTTGCATCAACATTGCAGAGGAGATCATTGAAGCCACAGGTCCCATTATTGGAGGAACAGCACAAAGCTTTGAGCACACCCAGCCACTCGGCACTTAGAGACTTGCAGTAGCCAGTTAGCTCAGCACACAGGATAGCAATGTCGTTCACCCTGTTAAATAAATAATGAAAAAAGCAGAGGGTCAGCTTTGCTACTCATGCATGCCATCAGATCAGTGATTTTCTAAGGGAACCCAGCCTTGGCTCCTCCTTCTTCAAACCCCAAGACAGCCAAGATATGGCCACTGGTTTCCTTACCCTCATCTAAAGAATTTGATTTCTCAGTAGAACCATGAAAGCTCTGCCTCTCACCTGTCAGGATCGTGGTGTCCCACACACACATGCATCAGTGCATTACAGACGAAACTGTAGCGATTGGCTGGGTTTTCATTGAGGCTCTTGCCCAGGTTGGTGTATGTAAAGTTATGTGCAGATGGATTTTCTATAGTGTCAATCATGAACTCTGGTTCCCATAGCATGTTGGAGTCAGATGGCTCAACATTGCAATAGATTGTGTTCTTCACCTTGGAGCAGAAGTCACTAAACAGGACAGAAAAGCGATTAGGAACACAAAAAACTAAGTGGCTACTGATATCTGGTGGGCAAAGGCAAACCCCCTCTGGGAAAGAACATTTAGTCGCTGAAACTCAAGATCACTGTGTGTACCAATAAAGACCAATAATTTTGTTATTCTCTATTCATTCCTTTCTCTGCTTGCATTCTAGGACATGTTGAACATTCAGTTTATTTTCTACATTAACCAGAACTTAACAAAATTTCTATCAGTACTCCTCTTCTGTGGGGAGGAGACTCAGTTTCTCGTAAATCATTTGAAACCTCTGGTAATTTATCCACTCACCCCCCTTTGGACATAAATCCACTACACAATTTTTAGTTTGCTGCCCCAAACCACAAGGCACAGTTGTACCATGACATAAACAGAGGCCTAATGATGCTCTTTGTTCTGTTCTCCATTCCTTTCCAAACAAGGAATTTCTCAGGAGCAATCCCACCAAACAAGATCAAAAGCAAAGTTTAAGTCAAGGTGCTATAGTGGGCAGTACCCACTGCATCTTAGCTGCATCAGACTCACCTGAAGAGCTCCCCAAATTTACTTTTGAGGTGACTGCAGGAGGTATACAGGTCGTAGAGATAGGCCAGGATACAGCGCTCTGCTGAGGAGCCATCCGAGCGGTTCATGCCATGTTTCACCACCCCACACAGACTGCAGAGAGACAAAAAAAAGTGAGCTGAACCCTCAGGCACCTTTTAGTAGCTGCCTTTTAGGAAGGACATAGATGTCCATGCCCCTTATGAACCCCCAGCACATATAGTGCTTCCTTACACACAGAGAGGGGAGAGGCCCTTACCCTTCAAAGACCTGAGCCATCTGGTCCTGGTTCAGGATAAGGCAGGAGTGGTAGTGCCGCAGCACAGCCACGATGCACAGGCACAAGCTGGTGGTATAGCTGCCAACAAGGTCGGAGGATTTCAACAGCAGTTCTGCCTCCACCACGCTCAGTTCATTCAGCAACTGCACCCAATGACAGAAAAACCCTTCAACAGCCACAGGGGTAAGGTATAGTCAGAAAGGGAGGAGGCACACCAAACCCACAGCCTATAGGACCTGCCAGGAAAGGCACTGCCAGGCACCTTCTGCTTAGGGATGCACCCCAGAACAGCTGGCAAAATGTCTCAGGCAGTACAAGGGGCTGTCAGGGCTGGGGTATCTGAGAGTAATTGTGATATGGCCATAGGCAGTTCTAAGCAGCTTGTTTGATAGTTCTATTCTGCATCAAGTCTCACTCTGATATCCTTTCCAGGCTAACAGCCACAATTCCATCAGCTAGGCTTCAAGAGACACCTGGTACAGGCTGCAGAAACAGCAACAGGATTTTAGCAGGATCCAGAAGGCAGCTTGAGCTGCCATGTGCCAAGGATCTTTCCAGGGGAGCAAGGTAGGCAAGGTGCCAGGGACAGACAATCCCCTTCTCGCTCAGAACAAGGCCCTGCTGCAACCAGGGACAGAGATGCACTGCAAGTCCTTTGGAAACAAGCCCAAAGCCTTTGGAAGAATAATCCTCAGAACAGAACATGCAAGACTATCTGCCACAGACAACCTATTCCTGACAGCTGCAGCCCAGAAGCATCACAATGACCATATAATCTGACCACCCTCATGACACAGGTCAGAGGGTCCCCAGTGATGACCAGAGCAGGCCAACTATCACAGCACAGATCTGCTGCCTCTCAGGTGGACAAACCCTTCCCAGGGAGCACCTGAGCACACTGCCCTTACCTGGATGGCAAAGTCGATAAGACCACTGATATTGAGTGAATACTCCATCAAGTCAAATATGAACTGCACATGCTGCACCAGAGGCAGGTGGTATGACATTCCCAAAGCAAAGCTGGTGATCTGTTCCAAGACATTACGAGATACCTGCAAGTGCAAGACAACACACAATCTATCTCCCCTTCCAGAAGTCCCTCAGCAGGCTCATCTCTTTCCAGGAAGCTGCTCTCAGTAACACAAAGAGATACAGTCAGGACCCACGCAGGACAGTAGTCTTCAAATTTTCATACCTGAGATGTGACTTGGTGCTGATCAAAGTGAGAAAGGTGCTGGAACTTTGCAAAGATATCTTCAGCTGTTGGGAATGCTTCTGGCTTGCTCTTTTTCCTCTTCTGGCCTTCCTCCCCACCTACCAAAGTTGAAAACATCAGAAAACAGTATTAGGCTGCTTTCCTCACCAGAGGATCAAACATCAGCCATCAACTTCTGACAGTTCCCCAGCAAGATGAGCCCATGTCATGAAGCACAGGCAAAAGGCCTGAGTCCTAGACCTTAAGTTGATAAGGACTATCTTTAATTAAAAAAAAAAAAAAAAAAAAAAAAAAAGAAAAATTAAGGAACCCCTAACCTAAGAATGACAGTAGGGTAAACATCAAGTTTATCCCAAACGAAAGCACTCCTTGGAGTATCCTTCTGCCTTGATTTAAAATATACCTACTTTCTGATGAGAACAAGCATTCTGGACTGGAGATGTTCAGCCACAAAAGTTTCTTTGTCAGAGCACTCCACATTTTAAAGCATCATCTTTTCACCACATTTTAAGGTGCCTTTCAGGCATCAGACTAGGAAAGAAAAACTGTAGCCAGGTTCTCAGCTGTTGGACATCAGACACTTTCTGTTGATTTTAACCCAGTTACCCAAATTTCCTATCCTACACATTTAGCACGTGCCTGAAGTGTAACAGAAGGATACATTTAGTGAAGTCTTTGCCAAATACACATTGGTAAAGTGTTTTCTGCTTCTTGTACAAGGATCTGAAGGCAAGAATAAATAAAATAAAATATGAAAAGCCAAAGTTTTGGCCAGGGTCTCACACTGAACCTTGTATGACTCAATTCTCTTCTGAAGACAAGTTAATTAAACAGATATTACCAGCAGGACACCAATTGTCTTACTTGCTGGTTAGTATGTTTGAAAACAGAGCACCATTCCAGACTCATTCACTAGTACCTCTTACTGGACACTGTAGATTGCATAAAATCCTTTCACTGTGAGACTCCAGACAAGGGAATCAGCCAACTGGAAAGATGCTCTTACTTCAAAAAGGAGTGTCTCAAGCTCTACTAACCTGTCTCTGCAGTGCTTTTTCTGTTTAAGACTTTTAGAATGTCTTTGGTTATTTTCTTGATTGTATGCCGAGCATCGTCCCGTTGTTTTCCAACCCCAAAAAGAACTACCAGCCTTTGGTTACACTCATGACTGCATGACTCCTCCTGGGGAACAAAAAGAGACAACTGCATTAGCAACTACACGGCTGAATGCTTTAATCTTGTTTCACATCCGCATCTCTGAAAGAAAAAGAAAACCTTCATCTCAGAAGCTTCTCTGGGAGTAAGCAAGGAGCCATCCAGAAAAGCAGAACTGCTCCTTAGCCAGTCACAGTAGGGAGAGACAGCAGCCTCATGCTGTCAAGAGACAGCAACAGAGGAGCAGTTAGAAGCAGGTCTCGTACCTGAGGAATAGGGAAGTGTGTTGCATACTGGATGTGCCGAGGCTGGTCATACAGGGATGCTAGCATTCCTTCCACAGACTTATCCTTCAGCAGAGTCTTTGCTTCCTTTTCAGGATCTGGCTTTTCAGGAGAAGGGCTGGCTTTAGATTCACAATGCATTGGTGGAGAAAACATCTGGGGAGACATAAGAACAAGAAAACGTAGCTAGGAAACATGGTCATGCACAGTAAAGATTGCTAAGGAATGTACTTCTGTTCAGGCCTAAAAAGGAGCAGGAAAAGGAAGGGTTGGAAGACCAGCCAGTTCTTAAGGCAAAAACCAAGAGACTGTGGTCTTGGTTTTTGTGACAAGAGACTATTCGTATTTTTGCTTCTGGTCCATGTTGTATATTAGGTTAAACACAACAGAAAATAACCCAATAGGAGCAAAACATTCATAATTTAGAGTTTTGGCAACAGCCCCTTCCACAGAAGTGAGATCCTGGGAAAGCATGTAACTTTACATCACACTTGGCTGACATGTACCTTGAAAGGTCAGAGATGGCTGGATAGATGTAGGTACTCAAGGATTTTTCAAGCACCACGAGTTCATTTTACTGCTAAGTGCTTCAAAAAGTTCTGCTACCATGAACTATGCTCACAGATAAGAACTGTACACCTGAAGTAGTAATAAAGGCCACACAGTAGGATGAAAGCAGAGTAGTGTCTTATCCCAGGATCAAGAAAACCTCTGCAACTGGTCACTTCCAATCTGATGCCATCATGGCCATTCATTTCCCATCCACTTCCAAGCAACCCACTTCCTACCTGGCCCAAACACTGGGCTGGCAGCGCCAGAGCATAAGAGAGTCCAGGATCAGCTGGGACTCAGTCTGCTCCAATGAACACCAACCTACATAAATGGGTTATATGGGCCTTCTGCAATGTGAACTGCCTTACAACCCAGCCACTTCCAGCAGATACACAAAAACAAGGCACATGCTGCTCCTGGGCTCCCTACAACACACTGGCCCTACTTACTGAGTAACAGGACATGCTGGAACGTACCGAAAAATCTGTCTTTTCCATGTCATCAAAGAGCATGCTGGGGTTGTGGTCAATGTCCATGGGCTCTGAAAGACCTGTGTCCTGGGAAGAGACAGAGCAGCTTTACATCTCAGTGATGCATCAGGGAACAAGAGAATATTTGTTGACTACACTGATGTCCACGTTGGATAGTGATAGCAGTATGCCATCACACCCATGGTGCCTGGTGGAGCCTGATACATCTCAAATATTATGGACAGGCCTCACACAGCACCTCATGACATGGTGCTTTGTATCAAGCCACGCAAGATTCTCCTATCTACTCTTCTGCAATCTGCAGGTCCTTTCCAGGCACTTAGAATATAGCTTTAAATTGAAATGCTAAGGAAATAAGTTGAGGGAGGGAAGAGCAGGAGTCAGTGGTACATTCCCCAGCGGGCAACAGCAAGGAAGCTGCAAAGCTGGTGAAAACAGGCAAGCACAACACAGATGTACAGGAGGGCCATGGTGCTTATGCTCTCACCTCCAGCTTGATGCCACTGCTTCCCTCTGTCTCCTTCCTGTCATGTTCCTCAGCAGGGTCATCAAAGGGTGAGGGAGGGCGAGGCCCATGAGAATCCATGGCGAGATCACCCCGGGAGATGAGCGTGCACATGTAGATGTTGTGGGAGAAGACATCATGTCGGATTAGCTCACAGAACAGCAGCACCAGATTAAAGAACTCCACCTTCTCGTTTTCCTTCCCAGGATCAGCTGAAAGGACAACACAGTCAGGGCTATCAGAGTAGTTCTGCAGCACTATAATCAACACCAACCACCTAAACTAAGGCAAGGAAAAGCATTTCCTGAGATGTCAACACAGTGACTGATACACAGTTCTGAGATTACAGCAGGGACTAAAAGCAGAAAATTAACAATTAAGTAAGTCAAAAGCTCTCCAGTGTCACAGTCCAGAGGTACTGCACTTTAGCCTAGAAGTGCTATTCCTGGGGATACAAACAGCTGCCTGCATCATTCAGACCTGTTATCCTATCCCCCTTTACCTTCCCATCAGAGCCAGAGCTCTGTCACCAGTTAAAAACCTCCCTTTAGTTCTTAGCCTGAAGTAATTCCTGATTAAACCCATTTATCCTTGGCCAATACTCTGTTAACAGAAAAGCCTCTGTATCATCCTTCTGTCATCTGGCCCTGCAAGTTGCTTTTCCTCCCTTACCAAGATAAACTCTGAATTGCAAGGAAGACAGATAGAGAATTTAGATACATCCCATACCTACACACAAGAGAACTGCACAAATTCAAAGTTTGCAAGAGAGGGAAAGCTAGAAACTGGGAGACCACAAATTCTTATTACATACTTAGCATAGGAGCTTGAGTGTCAAGGAACTGCATAAGGACATCCTGAAAGACAGGAGCACTGGCTGCTGACAGAGAGCCCGAGGAGATGGAGCCCTTCTCATCCACGACTTCAGAGTCCCCACATCTCTGCAGAAACAGAAAAGTACCAACTGCTGACACAGAGGAGAAACTTCCTATCCATACATCTTAAAATAGAAGTCTTCAAGAGAATTTTTCTATTTTGCTCTTGTAAGCAAGCCACCCCACAGGTTTCTGTAAGCTACTGCACAGTCTCCAAGTATGTCAGCGCTTCTGCACTGCAATCAGCTGTCCTCAAATGTATCCAAGAAATGGGATATGCACCATCCCACAGGCTCATTTATGACCTACATTGGGTCAGATGGAGCAAATGCCATAATTAGCAGCACCAGTGACAAGAGGCACTGTGCTGATCAGCCTTTGCCTGGCTGTGTAATAGGAGTTAGGTAACTTCTGCTCTCCTTTATTGCTCCCAGCCTTCCAGGAATAAGGACCTACCTCAGCCTCGATCTCTGCCTGACGCTTCTCCAGGAGCTTGGCCACGACCATGGCCCTGTGGCGCCCAGAGCGTTTGTAGCTGACAGCCCACTCACACAGCAAGGCCACCACTGCATCATCGTCTGGGGAGATCTGGGGGGATAGAAGCACTGCAGTGAGAACCTGAGCCAAGCAGAAGAGGGGAGCAGGCAGAACAGTGGGTCTACTCCCCACAGAACAGAGACTGAACGCTGCTACATTCCTCTCCTCCTTACAGGGAGGACACATGTCAAGCTAGAGCCCCCCTGCTTTGACTGCATTTTGCAACATGAGGTCCACAGTCCCTGACAAATCTCCAGACTGACTCTGCTTCAGAAAACCATCTCTCTTCCAGCAGCACATCTATAGACTGCTAATCACAGCACTGAGTAAAACACAACTTCTCAACACCCGCATACAAAGTATATGAAAAGCCAGTCCTGTGCTTTTCTAGAAATCAATGCAGTAGTGGATGCACTATGGTCCTACACATCATAAATACATCAACTCCCAGGCTAAGAGGAACCTGAACTGTGAGCTCCCAGGAATCAGCAGCCAGCCCAAAATGTGACCAGGCTAGTACTGCCATAACAAGTCCTTAGCACCAATCTGGTATGCAGACTGACATCTTTCATCAGTGAATTCTCTCAAGCTTACATGTATTTATTGGACTTTCTAGAGCACAGACCCCCCTATTCTCATTTTAATATGTCCCTAACAGAGCTACATGCAATCCTTTTCAACGAGGATCATGTCTCTTGGCCAAAGGCCACTACCTAGTCAGCTCTCTGCAGACACACGACAATAACAGTGCGGTTATAAACAAGAACACAGCCACATCCAAGACCAGGGCCCAGCAGCCAAGTCCCAGAGCACCTCATGACTGTCTTTGGTTGGACCCAGCCCAAATATCCTGTTATACAAGGAATCCAAAGAGTTGCTGAAGTCAGATCTTTCAAAGCTGTGACTGTCCAGAACTTCTAAGGTATGCAAGACACGGCCAATAGTGAAACCTAGAAGAGAACAGAGAAGAAAAATGTGTATTTGGCACCTGGTAGAACAGACTCTGGAGCAACACCAGATGTGCTGCCAAGGTCAGCTAAGGTCAGAAAGGCCTACACCTGGTATCAAGACCAGTTCCACAAGGAAGAAAAGATGGGTTGTAGCTGTAGGTGATTCTCTTTTAAGTGAAAGAGAGGGTTTGGACCCTTCTCTAAGGGAAATCTGATGCATTCCTGGTGCCAAGGTTAAGGACATGAAATTAGGAAACTTCCTAGCCTGGTCCAGCCCTCAGACTTTACTGGTCTCCCACACAGGAGGAGATGAAGTTGCAAGTGTAGTCCAAAGACAATCAAAAGGGACTTCAGGACCTTGGGACCAACCATTAGAAAGGGATTTTAGAACAGATTTTATCTTCTCTTCTATCCTTCCAGTTACAGGCAACAACATTGGAAGAAACAGATGGGCTCAGTCTATTAACATGGCTCCATGGCTGGTGTTGCCACCAAAATACTGGTTTTTTTCTGACAATGGGAGGGCTACACAGCACCAGGCATGCTGGACTGTTCAGTGTATCAGAAACTGGTTGGACAGTCACATCCATATGGTAGTGGTCAAAGGCTCAGAGTCTCAGTGGACATCAGTGATGACGACACAGACACAGACAGAGTGCACCCACAGCAAGTGTGCAGATGACACCAAACTGAGTGGTTCAGTTGATAGTCCTGAAGGATGGATGACATCCACAGGGACCTGGACAAGCTCCAGCAGTGGCCCGTGGGAATCCCATGAGGTTCAACAAGGCCAAGTACAAAGTGCTGCACCTGGGGCAGGGCAACCCCAGTACAGACCCAGGATGGGGATGAACAGATGGAGAGCAGCCCTGCAGAGAAGGACTCGGGATGCTGGGGGATGAGAGGCTGGACAGGACCCAGCCATGTGCAGTCTCAGCCCAAAAGGCCAAGTGTGTCCTGGGCTGCAGCAAAAGCCCTGTGGGCAGCAGGGGAGGGAGGGAGGGAGGGGATTCTGCCCCTCTGCTCCACTCTGGTCAGACCCCCCCCTGCAGTGCTGCCTGCAGCCCTGGGGTCCTCAGCACAGGAAGGACATGGAGCTGCAGGAGCGAGGCCAGAGGAGGCCACCAAGGTGATTAGAGGGATGGAACACCTCTCCTAGGAGGAAAGGCTGGATTGTTCAGCCTGAAGAAAAGGCTCTAGGGTGACCTAACTGTCACCTATCACACTAAGGCAGGCTTACAAGAAATCCTGAGAGAAACTTTTTACAAGGATAGGAAAGAGGAGGCCACCAAGGTGATTAGAGGGATGGAACACCTCTCCTAGGAGGAAAGGCTGGATTGTTCAGCCTGAAGAAAAGGCTCTAGGGTGACCTAACTGTCACCTATCACACTAAGGCAGGCTTACAAGAAATCTTGAGAGAAACTTTTTACAAGGGCAGGAAAAAGGGGAATGGTTTTAAACTGAAAGAGGATAGACTCAGACTAGATGTTAAGAAGAAATTCTTCCCTGTGAGGGTGTGGCACAGGTTGCCCAGAGAGGTTGTGGATGCTCCATTCCTGGAAGTGTACAAGGCCAGGCAGGATTGGTCCAGAGCAACCACATTTAGGGGAAGGTGTCCCTGCCCATGGCAGGAGAATTGAGACCATTTGATTTTTAAAGTCCCTTCCAACCCAGACCATTCTACGATTCTATAAGAAGTTTTTGTGAGCTCAGTGCTCGGGCTCACTACCAAGGAAAGCTGAACCAGTCAGGCAGGGGTCCACTCAGCTTAAAATCCTGACTCTCAGTGTGGCCAACTGCAGATTTTAGGGGAAAGCATCTCTGCACGGCACACAAACAAGAGAATAGGTACCTGGTAAATATTTTCAGCTCCTAGTAACAGAAACTCCCCCTATACCTGGAGAAATGGGCCCCTATAAGATTTTGTTTTGGAAAAAAAAAGTGCCATGTCTTACTGATGACAGTAAACACAAAGAGTTGTAAATAGGAAAAAATCAAAAAGACAGGAGTTTTGTCAGAGTAGCACATCTATCAGGGGAAAGAAACTTTAACCTACAGCAAGTTACCTGCTGTGGTTTCTTGGCACTTGTCAAATGACCAGCGAACCTCCACAGCCTGGCCACGTTCCTTTATCTGCTGCTCAATTTCACGCAGCTTTGCCCGAACCTAGAAACAGTGCACTTGTGTAAACATACAAAAGGATGCCTTAGAAGTCCTGTGAACAAAATTATTAGAAAACAAAGAGAATGACAGCAATTCTACTTAAGGTTAGATTCTGCCCATCTTCCAAGGACACCACTATCTGGTTTATAGCAGAATGAGAGCACTTAATTCCTAGGGACTGAGACAGCACCTCCAGATCTGCTCATCACACAACATGAAAAGAAAATTCTGAAAGAGCTAAGATACAGCTGCCATCCCAAACCACAAGAGCTCCCTTTCCTGAAGCTCACCTGCTGTGTAAAGGCTGAATTCCCCCCTGGCATGGGCAGGTTGGATGGGGCTATAGGCAGGTGGTCCAATGGAGAGCCAGTCTTTATCCTGCTATCAGTCAAGGAATAATGCCACACAAGGGCACTCGGGCAACACAAAATTATACTCTGCAACAGACAGAAAAGTCAGTATCACTGAGCAAATTAAGGTCAAAACAATTAAGTTACATTTCTACAGAACTAACCACTACTTGATCCTATTGCCCAGGCACTCATCCTCTATACAGCATATTTACTATCTGGGTGGATTGTTTTTGTTCTGTTTTCTTTTTTTTTTGTTTGTTTTAAGCTCTGAAAAACCCTTTGGATCATACAAACTCACACCCCCAATGCACAATCCAACTCTCATGGTCCAGAAGCAGCAATTACATTAGCGACTTCCAACTGTCATCAAGTGTAAAGTCTGAGAAGAAATACAATACAACAGACCTAATTATTTAAACCATTTTGCTTGATAATCACAAGTCTGATTATCATAGTAACAATACCATGGTGTATGCATTCTCATTCTTTTGTGATCTTGTACACTCACATAAGCACAGACAAAACTTCACTAAACAATTCCTGTGATATTCCCCTACATTTTCTGTCTCACAAAGCTGTTTTAGACCCTCAAACCAAAGAATCTGCTTATCTTGAGAACATTTCAGCAACGGTTAATTATGCACATTCTTAGAATTATGGAAATTCTTAGAAATGCACCTGTTTCCACTGACACAAACTAAAGATCAGACTATCATTTACCAGCATCAACTTTTTAAGTAGGTTGTGTCTGAACTCCAAATCAGACAAACCTCTGAGGTGTATATGCTCCTCTATTTTCCCTCAAGCAAGCTCCCCAAATACAGGATTTTTTTATATTAGAGACATGTTTTATCACATAGAAAATAGAAAAAAACCCAACCCTCTAAATGTCTTGACCAGAAAGCAAACAAGACTTAATAAGAATGCAAAAGGTTTATTTATAACCCTACATTATTCTCTAACCCTTGCTTCTAGAAAGATCCTTACTTCTAGCCAACTGTACTACAGAAATTTTCTTTTCCTCTTTTTCTCTGAGAGCTGGTTGGCTGCTTCTTGATCCTGCCAGGGCTCCTTCCTCTCAAGTTTCTCTCTTGAGCAGCAGATTCCCAAGCTTTGTGCTCTCTTCCTCTCCAACTCCTGCTCCATTCTGCACTCTCTGGAACCTTCTCTGCTTTAACAAGTCTTTTCTCCCCTGGAAGAAACAATCCCCACTCTTGCATGGACCCACCTCACCTAGTCACTCTCCTCTTGAAGGAGCAAAACACAATCATGAATGAATGCACACACTAAACAGAACCTGCCTATCTCTGACACAAGGAGAGTAAGGACTGAATCCCACAGTGCCACAACAGCACCAGTTCTTCAGACATCTATCAGCAAGGCTTTGGCAACCTTGCCCTTTTTTTGCAATATAATGTTTAATCAATCCCACCTAGAAAGATTATGGGTTTAGAGTGGTTCCTTTTCACAGCCTGCTACCACTCCTAAACCACTACATTCTTCCATAAAGTGGGAGGAGTTGTTTCTTGTGCGAGCTGTTAGGTTGTGGATTGTTTTTTTTGGTTCTGTGGGAACTTTTCTTTTGATGAGGGGATGTTTGTTTTTAAGAGTTGACAAAATTACAAAGCACTTTCATTTCTGCCATAATTTCCTCTCCTGGATGAAAACCTGCTATTGATACACACATGGGAAATAACCCTTTCTTTCTTTCTTTCTCATCCTTTCTTTAGTAAAGCTTTCCCAGCCACGTGAGGCACCTGTGAGTAAAGCAAAAGGCTCTATTCCAAACCATTTTTCTTATGCAAGTCAGTCAAGGGCACTGCTACAGCACTGTCTGACAAAAACTCTGTAACACATCAGCAAAGATAATCATGATTTGATATTTCTGTACTTACAAAGCTGCTGACTCAGACTGTAATGATTTTTCTGTGATGGCACACAAATCATCCCTGTTGACCCCAGAATCACCATCACTTAAACATACCTGGAGGATGCAGCTGAGCCCATACACCACTGGCCGGTGCTGGGGGCACAGTAATAAGTCGCTGAAAGGGCTGGGAGGAGGATTCCCTGCAGCTGGCTGAGGGGTGGGAGTTGAAGGAAGAGCATTCCCTGTCTGGGCAGACAGGATGTGTGGTGGGTGCCCACCAGCACCATCCAGCTGCATAGCAAGCCTGCGGGTGCAGAAGTAGGCCAGACGTCTGGACAGGTACGCAGACTGCACAAACTCTCCAGAGTACTGCAGGGAAGATGGAAGGAGGGGCAAACATCCTTGTCACAAGGAACACAAGAAAAAACCCCGACCTTCCCAATGTACTACACTGTGTGACACTGCCTTGAACAGGCAGTTTCTTTCTACTTCTTAGCTTTTTTTACTTTTCTTTTTACTCCTTAGCATCACGGATCACCCACTGGCTACTAAGCATCAGAAAAACCCTTGAAATGCTCTCTGGCAATGATTTATGTATAAAAATGTACCCACACCCAGCCTTCCCAGAGCTTCAAAGGTTTGCCCAGAATTTGTTGCAAGAGAAAGAAAGAAAAAAGCAGTTTCCATGTACTGGTGCACAACCAGTGGAACCATCACAGCTGTGGCATGGGCAGGGATTTCCAAATCCAGTGCAGGGAAAAAGGGTAAAGGAGAATAACGACCAAAAAAGAGCAGGACTAAAAAGACATCCTTGGATGAGCTGAGAAGGGTGCTCATAGGGACACTCCCTGGCGTTCTTAGTGCAAAACAACCCATTATCCCCTTAGGAAGGGGATGGCCAAAGCAGAAGTCAGCACTCTCCTAGAGCAAGCTGAGAGTGTATTTCTCACCCGTAGCAGCAAAGGAAGGAGCATTTTCAGAAATTCATCTTCTCCTGACCGTATCTTCTCAAAGCACTCGAGGACCCATGTCAGGAATTCGTGCCGGTCCAACATGCCATCCTGCACACAGATAAGAGCAGAGCAAATGGATGAAAGTTGAAGTCAACTCCACCAAGGCAAGACAGAGCAGCAGCAGCTTGCATTCCAACAGTGGAAATAGCTCTGGAAGTTTTCACAGTTCTGTGCTACCCCTGTCCTATTACTGAGCTCAAAACTGCATCTAGTCCTAGTGATCTATTCACTAGGAAAGAGAGCAACTTGCAGAAACAAATCACTTGGCATCCACTCCCCCTGCCCTCCTCTGCTCACAATGACACAGCAGCCCCCACCAGTCCCTCACCTGGAACATGAACATAGCCAGTTTCTCATTGTAGTCCCACTGCTTCAAAGCCTGTTCCACCTCTTGGGGCATTGGTCCTGATGGTGAACCACAGCCTGGCCCCGGGAGCTGTCTGTAGAACTCTGCAATTTTCTGCAGCTGCTCTGACAGGTACTTGGTGATGATCTGTGTCCATTCTGGAGAAAAGAGGTTAGCAATGAGCACTGTGGCAAAGAGGAGCAAGAAAGAACCAGGATGGTGCATTGGCAGAAAGCAACAAAAAAACAGAACACAGTCAGGGGAACTCTTCTAGACGACAGCAATCTGGACCAGGCCAGGACGCAAAGGATGTTGGATCCAGAAATGTTTAATGACATTGGGAACACAGACAGGGAGTAACATACCAAAATTATCTAGGAAATGTACATACTCACTTGGGAAGTAGCTAAACAGTCATCACTAAATTGCAACTTTACAATCTTTGTATAGTAAGAAAAAAAACCAGGTAAGGCAGCAAAGGAGCTCATCAGAACTTAACAGGGAGAAAGAAAAGTAAGGCTCCCAGGAAGTATTTATGGCTGCTAAGACTTATTTTTCAGTGTACTTTCACAGGTGGGCCTGTTGTTCAAACAGTTACTCACATCAGAACCCAAGGACTTATCAGCAGGAAACAAGTTTATTTGGATTTACCTCTTACTGATCAAGAGCAGGCTTAGAAGGAAGCAGGTGTGATGGACAAAGCCAGTGCTGCACACAGAGTGCTTACCAATGAAGGGATCAATGACATGACGCTTTTTCACCTTGGTTTCTGTGATGGCAGCATAATAGGCACAAGTCATTTTGATGAGCCACGCTGCTCTCATTACTGGAACAGTGTATTTTGCCAAATAACCAAAGACCTCTTCCTTCTTGCTAAAGATGGGCACCTGTCATGAAATGGAGAGGGAAAACTGAACCAAGCACTTGGAATAAAAACTGAAGCAGCTAAAGCAGACCTCTGCCTCAGAAAAACCTGCTGCCAAAATTCACTTGTGATCAGAAAGCAACAGTACCAAAGCTGCATTTCAGTATAAACAGAAACAAAATAAATTGAAAGAAGACAGAACATATAATTACATCAATGTAAATCCATGCCCTAAGTCCTGCAAACATCTTGGAGGTTATCCTCCAGAGAGCACATAAAGAGCTATGAAAGATACAGACAGAGGACTGAGTCAGTAACAGAGTATCTGCCATGCACAGTGAAGACAGGACTCTTCACTTTGTATACAAAACCCAGTAGTTACAGAAGTCTCACAATATCATGAGTACTCAACAGAACACAGTGAGAAACAGGGAACTGAGTACAAAGTAGGAAGGAATTCATTAATCCAAGATTCAAAATTCAAGATACAGCATAAGAGGATACCAATGAAATAATCAGGCTGCAGGACTATAAACCAGGAAGCAATAACACATTGCAGGGAAAAGTACAGCTGTGGGGCTCACTTCCACACAATACTCTGGAGAGCAAAAGTATGCGTGTTTTCACAGCGGAAAGAAAAAAATTCACAAAAAACAGGTCCAGTATCTTCAAGTCCCTGAACTACTGGTGTTCATTTACCTACTATGTTTCCTACATTCTTCCCAATTACTCTCTGATGCCTCAAAGTCAGACTACTCGGCTACTGACAGTCGCTCCGCTCTCTCACATCTAAGTTCATGAAAATGGATGGAGCTCACAGCAGGAAAACAGGGGAAAACCTTGAAAGGTTCAAGCTTTCACCATGAACTCAGGAAACTGACAGTCAAAACACAAAGAAGGACTAAGTTTATAAAGAGTCAGATTCTGGAAAATCTGATTACTTTAATTTTCCCCCCAGGAATGACTCAGACCATTTTGCAACTGGGAGTTATGTTTGTTTCACAGTGCATACCAGATTCACAAGTACCTCATTTGTAGGCCTCCCCTGAGAGAGAGCTATCTCCCTTGCTATCAGGCCTTATAAAATGCCAGAGTAAGACCCTTCTTTCATACTCTACAGAATTCACAGCCTGGCCAAGACCAAGTGATAGCACATGTACACCCCTCTGCTGAAAAACAGAAACACCTCACTGCAAAAGAAGTCTGGGAAGTCATTTAGGTGATTATTTTCAGTAATTCTCACTATGACTTTTGAGAACTTGAGAAATCCTCCACAACAGAAATGTCCTAATCTAAACAACAGAGCAAAGGCAACAGTGGCAGCTTTTCTGAAACACAATGGAACCTTAAAATAAATCAGTTGTGTCCTACAAGCCAAAAGGCAAAGCTAAACACACCTCAAAATAACAGCCAAGAGAAGAGATTTCAAAGTGTGGATGACTACAGCCAGGGCACTACAAATCCTACATCCACTCTTCAAGCTGAAAGCTTCACACGACGTAGAGACGAGGAACTTCTCCAAACAGTAAAGACCTCCAGAAACAAGCAGAGATTAAATTCTCTGCCCTGCCAGGCTGCCTCTCCTGTAACATACCTTCTTAGCAAGATGAGTGAGGGGCTTAGTTCCAGCCAGATCAGTGAACCAGTTGTTTATGGCACTCTGAGAACGTGCTGTCACCAGCCAAAAGTTATCCTTCTGATTGACCTGGGGTTTCCGTCTCCCCGTGTCAGGCAGGGTGTTGCACCGTAGCTTTTCTGCAATAATACTGCTAAAATTTGAGCTGATCTGGAGGAAAAGGGAAAATAAAGGATTTACTACATTTCAGAGATCAAAGACCTGATCAGTGTGCTTAAAATATCATTTATCATTCCTACCAGAAGTCTCACCAGTATCAACTTTTGAAACACAAAGTAACTGCCAATAACTCCTTTGTTATACTTGCAGAGATGAATGTGTCTAGACAATAAACAAGCAGGGACTCAAGTTGAGATGGACACAACCCTTTAAAATACTTGTCGAACCAGACAGAAGGCTCCTCAGACAGAAGTCAGCCAAGGAAAACAAATATCCTGTGCTTACTGATTGCCTTCCAACCCAGGTCATTACTAGTTGTTTTGTCAGGAAGTCAACATCTTGATTTCGGAGACTGGAAAAATGGAGCTGAAGCCTATTATATAACTCCCATTTTTAAACTTCCAGATGTTTCACAAAATCATACTTTCCTTTTACCATGGCCATCATGTAACCAAACCAATAAGGAGTTTCTCTCTCCTACGATCAAGCCTTGTGCTTTAATTGCAAAATTTAAGGAGTCCTAGAAGCCGGCTTAAAGAAAACTGCATAGATCTGCCCCAAAGATGCACGGAGCCAGACAAGAACCTGCTCTCTTAGAGGTGGGACGCAGTTCTAAAAGAACTTGGATTCTACACAAACGGAGGGTGTAGAAGTCTTAAAAACACACATACAAAAGGGAAAGATCTCCTAGTTCTTGACACAGGGAGGGAATGAGACCCAGGACTGTGCAAGGATCTGGCCGCCTGTCCTGCTAAACCCGCCCTCGACCGTCGGGACGTCTCTCACCTTCGCCGGGTTGAAATTGACATTTTTGGCACTGCCGTGCTCGTCCCCAGAGACGGCCGGTTGGTTGTTGAAGCCTTGCTTGACATTCAGCGCAGTCAGCTCATCCTGCGGGGGAAGGACGGTCAGCAGGGCCCGGCCCGGCCCCTCCGCGCCCACCGCCGCAGCCTCTGTCCCCACGGCGGGGGCTGAACCAGGCGAGGCCCGGTTCCTCCGACCTCCCCCAGCCCTCGCTACCAGGCACCGCCCAGAGCAGTGCCGGGACACCGGGACCGCGGTTCCCCCGGCCCGGCCAGCGCCCCCCACGCCCGGGGTCCCGGCGGACGGCGCCCCCTCGCCCAGCTCCCGGCCCTCGCGCCGCTAACCCGGCGCTTCCTCAGCTCCGGGCCCGGCACAGCGGTCCTGCGCCCCGGGTCCCCCCAACACGCCCGGCCCCCGCACCTCCTTCTGCTTGGGGTCCTGCGGGTACACGTCAGGCGGGCCGAGGCGCGGGCGCTTGAGCGGGCGGTGCTCGTAGCTGAGGACGCCGAAGGCCGCCATGGCGGGCCGGCCGGGCGGGGGCGGCCGGGCCACAACAAGGGCCGCCGGGGCCGCCCGCGCCTGCGCGCTGAGCGCTGCGCCGGGGCAGGTGGGCGCCGCCGAAGCCGGGCCGAAGGAGCACGGAGAATCCCGAGCGTTGCCGAAGAGGCCCGAGTGTTGCCGAAGAATGCCGAATTTTGACGGAGAGACCCGAGTGGTGCTACGACTGGACCGAGGAAAGACGAAGAACACCGAGCGCAGCCGGAGAGATCCGAGAGTGAACGGAGAGAGCCGAGCGTCACCGAAGCAGGGAGGGGAGGACAAAAAGCGCTGAGCGCTGCAGGAGAGTCCCGAGCAGTGCCGGAACGGCCCGAGCCCGCTCCGAGCGAAGCCGAAGTGTCGAAGAGGGACGGGACAGCCCGAGGGGCGCGCGCGCCCCCCGGCGGAGACGACGCGGCGGTGGCGTGTCCGGACAGGATCACGTGACAGCGCCCCTCGCTCTCGCCCCCGGCCCCGGTACCGGGGCACCCCCGGGACCCCGGCCACCAACACCCCGTGCGGCCCCCACCGGCCGTACTGTCACACACACCAAACCCTGCCGTGACTCTCTCCTGCAGCCGCCCCCTCGACTGCCTCGGTGTCTCCCAGTGATGCTCCCAGGGATCCGGGCGGGCTGGGCGCTGGGATCCCTATCCCAGCCATGCTCCTGGAGCAGCCCAGTGGCGGCGAGCCCTACAGCATGAGCCGTGGGAACACGGCAGGATGAAATGGGGGGTCCAAGAGGTGTGAGGCGGGGGAACTGAGCAGGGACGGTGACACCGTCCCGGTGGGATGAGCCAGTGGAATGTGCTGTGGGGTCCCAGTGGGTTAGCTGTGGTATCCTAGTGGGATGAGCCATGGAGTTCCACTGGGATGAGCTATGGGGTCCCACTGGGAAGAGCTGTGGGATCCCAGTGGGATGAGCTGTGGGGCCCCTCTGGAGTGAGCAGTGGTCCCCATAAGGCGGCCCTTGGGGCAGCACGGAGGGTGGCCCCCGGTGCAGGCGGTGCCGTGGGCAGGAAGCAGCGTGCTGCGGAAGCCGGCAGCCCTGGCTGAGGCTGTTCGCACACGTCCCTGGCCAGCAGCCCCCATGGCGGCTCCTGGCACCTTCCTCGTGCCTGTCCTCCTCCTGTTCCTCTGTGGGCCGGGTCCCTACCCTGCTGCTGCCGACAGCCACCCAGGTAAGGGGGCACAGGGGAAGGCCACGGGCCCCTTTTGTGGTTGGGGCTGGGGGATGGAGCTCCCCAGTGATGGCGGGCGAGGACAGGATGTGGGGCTGTGTGGGCTGGCGCGCTGTTGTGGCACACACCGGGGACCCTGCGACCCCTGATGTGTCCCAGACCTGCAGGACATATATGGCCTGTTGCAGTGGGGCTGCCAGGAGGGTCAGGCTGTACCAGGGAGCCCTGCTGGGCTGTCCTTGTGCCCACTGCAGTGCTGGAATATTTCTGACCCCACTAGCCCCCTGACTACTAGTCCTGCAGGGCTCCTGCCCCATCACTCTACTGGCAGATCCTATTGGTCTGTGCCACGTGTGGGTGCTCGCCAGGATGGTCAGTGGATCTTCACCAGCTGCCCTTTCCTTCCTGGTCCCCTCAGTAGTGCTGTGCACAGGAAGGGGACACGACACAGAGGCATTTCTTTCCACCTGATGCTCTCATCCCAGCTGCTGTTTTCTGAGAAAAAATGCACTCCTTGCCTGGCTGTCAGTAAAACAACAGCTCTCTGTGGAAAAAGCCCCTCTGTATCCCTGGACCTCCTGGGCTGACAGGAAGGTGCCCTCCATCTCCAGGTGTAGAAACAGCCTGTTTGCTCCATTGTGTTACACTACAGCCCAGGAAAGCTCGACTCTGGCTTTCTCCTGCCCCTGCAGTGCTGGCTGATGCATTTGTTTGAGGGAGGCTCATAGGGATATGCAGGGATCTGGCGTGTGCCATGTCTCTCCAATGCACCCCTGGGCCTTGGCACAGCCAGCCACCACTGCCATGCCCAGCAGTGTCTGTTGCTTGCAGGAGTGAAGTGTGTCCTCTTCAATGAGGAGTACATGAACTGCACGTGGGGGAACGAAGAGATGCCCACCGTCAACTACTCCCTCTTCTACTGGTAGGTGTCCCTGTCCCATGGCCAGTCCTACAGCAGAGTGTCCAGCAGTGCATCCCTGTGCAGCATTGCTGGTCCTGGCATCAGGCCTCTCCTCCTCCCCAAGCCTAGGGTGGGCAGCCTCTGTCTCCAGAGCGAGCAGGATGGGATGTGCTGGGGAGAGGGGTCCTGGCTGGGGCATGTGAGGCCTTGGGGAGTCCTGGCAACCCACTGTGGCACAGGTACAAGAACACGTCTGACAAGGAGGTGGAGTGCAAGCAGTACCTGCAGCACCAGGGTGTCAGGGTCGGCTGCCACTTCAAGCAGAACGAGCTCATCCAGTTCCAGTCTTTCCACGTTCTCATCAATGCCAGCATTGGCGGCAAGACCCTGGAGATCCCCAGCGAGCGCATGGAGCTGCAGGACCTGGGTACAGAGTGGCGGGGGGACCCCGCTCTCCTCTGCAGGGCTGTGGGTTCTCAGAGCTCCCCTGTGAGCTCCCAGCTGGCAGCAGGGCCCTGGCCATGGGGCCAGCCCTCAGTGGGCATTACCTGTCCCTTGCAGTGAAACCAGAGGCGCCTGTCAACCTGACCATCCGCAACATGAGCAACAATCAGCTGCGGCTGACCTGGGCCTCCCCGTACCCCAGAAACCAGTGCCTGGAGCATGCTGTCAAGTACAAGAGCAACAAGGACACCAGCTGGACGGTGAGAGCCCTGGGCAAGGCACCTTTGTGGCTGTGCCTGGGGGTGAGCTGTGCACCAGCCTCCAAGGTGGTCCCAGCCAGCAGCTCAGGGCTGATGTCTCTGCAGGAGCTCTCGGTGAATGGAGATGTCTTCTCCTTACCCAGCGTGGACTATGAGAAGTCCTACACCTTCTACGTGCGCAGCAAGATCAACAACTTCTGTGGCAGAACCCAGTTCTGGAGCGAGTGGAGCGTTCCTGTCATCTGGGGCAGCAACTCCACCAGCAAGGGTATGTTCTGAGGGCTGCAGTGGGATAGGATGCACTGGAGCATGGCAGGGCTCAGCAGGTGAGAGATGGCCAAGCAAGGAGAGAATGGCCTGAGGCAGCAGCTGTAGGGACAAGACCCATCTGGGCATGTGGGGTGCTGGCAGCAGCATCCTTTGTACTTCTGGAAGCAAAACACACCCCACCAGTGGGACCTGCTGACTTTTGCCAGGGGCTTCTTAGCTCTGGAGGGCATGGCTGGGCCACAACTGGGTCATCAGCTAGTTATGGTGATAGGATGGGAGCGCTTGGGGACAGGCCCCTTCTCCATGCTCTGTTCCCAGCTGAGCGCTGCCATGAGCAATGCCATGGCCACCCATGAAGGGCCACCTGCAGGCCCACCCCACTGCCATGGTAGTGTGCTGTCTGGGGATCAGTGTCACCCCTGCTCTTTCCAGGCACGGGGGAGGAACAGCTGTACTGGTTTGGGATCCGCACAGTCTTGGTGCCCATTGCCTCCTGCCTGCTGCTGCTGGTCCTTGTCATCCTGCTGGTGCGCATGGAAAGGTGAGTGTGGGGAGCTGGCTGGGGGCAGCAGCACTGGGGCTCTTCCCTCTAACACACCTCTCCTGCACAGGGTGTGGGTCATCCTGATGCCCCGAATTCCCAACCCCAGCAAGAATTTTGATGAGCTGTTCATCACCCACAACGGCAATTTCCAGGTAAGGTGGTGCAGGCAGCCCTGCCCTGGATTCACCCCGGCTGCGTGGGGTTGGGGCTGGGCTGGGTGGCGGCTCCTCTCACCCTGCTCTGCTCCCTGGAGGAATGGACTGGAGTCCCCAAAGATGTTGTGGAGAGCTTCAAGCCCAACTACAGCGAGAACATCTGCTATGTGACTGAGCTGCCACCCAAGGACAGCCATGAGCCCCTCTGGGACAGCAGCAACCATGCACCACCTCCAATGCCTGGGCCCCCAGCTGCCCCCAGTGAGCACAGCCCCTACCAGAACAGCTATGGGAGGGTGTGACACGCTCCTGCACCCCTGCATGCCCCATTCGCCACAGCTTTGCTGCCCAAACCTTACTGCTCCTCAGGCTCTGCTCCCTGCTCCTGCCATGCCTCTGCCAAATGCCCTGGACCCCGGTCTTGCTTCCTGCCAAATACCCTCCCTGCTCTGAGGTGCTCACAAGCACACCCAGGGATGCTGCAGCTGAGCAGGCAGAGGCCACTACCCAACTGATGGGGACACACAGGATGAGGAGTCCCATTGGGGCCGAGTGTGGAAAAATAAGGAAAGATAGGCAAGAAAGATTGTAAACATGCTCAAGTGCCTTGCAGCTGATGTAGGAAAAACACATATACCATACTCATGTTGTTTAGCTTTGTGTATTCAGTAAGTAGAACTTCTGTGTTTAGATAACACAGACTTGTGATAGACTTAGAGTCTGTGTTAGACTTAGTGGCACCTTATTTAACATGCTTGAGATTCCTGGCCTGCTGTGGGAAAGATCAAATCATAGTGGTAAACCACAACTGCACAAATCCTTGATAAACAGGCAAAAACAGCAGGTTCAGGGATCCTCTAGGGTGGACCAAGATCCACACTGCCTGCATCCCTGCTTATGTGCCTCTGCCTGGGTGCTGCTTGGGGGGGTCCTGCAGTTGGTGAGGTAATGAAAATAAATTTCCTCTTTGCTTTTCATCCATGGTTTTGTGGTTGTTCCTGTGTCCTGCCGTGCTGGCTCAGAGAGCAAGCCACTGTCATCCTGGCAGTTCCCCCAGGCCTCCCTGCTCCTTCCCCTGTGTCCCCAGTTTCCGGTGGCACTAAACCAGGGGTTTGCCCAGGCTTGTCCTGTGGGATCTGGGGAAAGCACCACTGGAGCCCCAGCTCCTGAGCACCTCTGACCCCTCACACACAGTGAGGCAGGGGCCAGTCCTACTGTCCCAGGCTCACAGTGGCAGCATGTTCATCAGTCAACATCAAGCACATGGATGAGTCCCCTCCTGGCCGTCTCACAGGGCTCCCTGCACACTCAGACGACGTGCTATGACCTCACTGGGCAACGGGCTCTGCTCTGGGCTCTCCAACCACTTCTGGGGCCACCTGCAGCCCTCAGCCACTGCCGCTGTCCCTGCAGATGAGCAGACCTTTCTGGCCAACACTGACTGCAGCTGCTCTTACAGAATCCCAGATTCAATTATGTTGGAGATGTTGGAGAACATCGAGTCCAACCTCTGTCCAAACACCACCGTATCAACCAGACCACAGCACTGAGTGCCACTTCCAGTCTTTTCCTTAAACACCTCCAAGGGCAGTGACTCTTGCACCTACCTGAGCAGTCTAATCCAATGTCTGATCACCCTTTCTGGGAAGAAATTCCTCCTGATGTCCAACCTCAACCTTCCCTGCCAGAGGCACATAAGAGCACACCCTCCCATCCTGTCACTGCTTTCTTGGGAGAGGAGTGGGACCCTCAGCTGAGCCCTCGGAGAGCTGGACCCTGGCACAGTCAGACCCTGCCACAGCCGGGCCCTCAAACAGCTGAGCCCTGGCACAGCCGGACACTTGAATAGCCGGGCCCTGGCACAGCTGGACTCTCGGACAGCCGGACCCCTGGACAGCTGGACCATGGCACAGCCGGACACTTGAATAGCCGGGCCCTGGCACAGCTGGACTCTTGGACAGCCGGACCCCTGGACAGCTGGATCATGGCACAGCCGGACCCTTGGACAGCCAGGCCCTGACACAGCCAGGCCCTCAGACAGCCGGGCCCGGGATGGGCTCCCGGCCCTGCTCCCTTCCCGTCCCGCTGTGCCCAGGCGAGGCGGCAGCGCCCCCCAGCGGCGGGGCACCCCGAGCCCCGCCCACCCTGGCGGGGCGGGGCCTGCGCGCGTGCCCCGGTAACTTTCCAGCCCTGCCCACGTGGTGCGGCGGCGGCCGCCCCCTGGCGGCGGCGATTGGCGCAGGCGGGCCCGCCCCCCTGCCTGCCGCGGTGCCGGCTCTGCGCTGCCGGCGGCCGCACCGGGCGGGGGCACCGGCACCGGGACTGCGCACGGCACGGCACGGCACGGCACGGCACGGCACGGCACGGCACGGCACGGCACGGGCTCACCATGATCGTGTGTCCCCAGAGCGTGGAGCACCCCCGAGGAAGCCGATGCCAGCGGCTGCCGGGGCAGGTAGGACCCGCCCCGCCGCCACCACCGGAGCCCGTACAGGAGCACCGGGCTTCGCCCTGCTCGCCGCCACCGGGCCGGCACGGCTACGGCACCAGCAGGCCGGGGCATTCCCGCTGCCCGCGGGCGGTGCGCGGGGCCGGCGAGGCTATGCTCTCACGATGCCCCGCCCGGCGGCTTGGTCTTGGTCCTGGTCCTACTCCCGGTGCCGGTGCCGGTCCCGGTGCGGCGGTGGCGTCCCCGTCCCCTTTGTGCGGGATGCGGGAGGCGCCGTGGCTCCATCACTGCCAATCAAACTTGTTTTTCTCTCTCCGCCTGCACTGCCCGCGCCGCTCACCGGGGGCGCTGCCGCCGCCGCCGCCCGCACAATGGGGCTCCGGGTACCGGCCCCGGGTACCGGCCGCCGGCACCGCCGTACGGACCCCTGCCGCGGGCACTCGTACTTCCCCCGTCCTCTCGAATACTCAGGCACAAGGGCCGGGCCAGAGGTGCTGCCGCGGCACCGTCTCCAGCTAACGTTACCGGAGGAGTCACCGGTACCGACGGAGCCGCGGTCTCGCCGGGCGAACAGATGACCCCCGGCCGGGCGGGGAGCGCGGCGGGGTCCGCCGGCCCCTCTCCCGCACATCCCGGCGCTGTCCGGGCTCCTTCAACCTCCTGACTTCTTTATGTGCTCACGGCTGCCGGCCGGGAGCGCCGGGGCACCGTTCCCCCGGGGCACCGTTCCCCCGGGGGTCTGCCGGGCGGGGAGGGGACGAGGTTGGTGCTGGGAGTTGAGGTGCCTGTTAAGAATTCAGGGGGCTCGGACACAGGAAGGTTCCCCTGGGGAGCAACGCGATGCTCCCACAGCCCGGGAGTGCGAGTGGATGCACTCCGGGAGGAGGAGGAGGGCTGTGGCCGAGGAGGATGAGGAAGATGGCACTGGGGCCAATGCGAGAGGCTGGGGAGGAAGAACTGAGGGAATGTGGCAGGCGGTGCCGGTAGGAGAGACCCTGGGCTGAGCTGGTGCCTTTGGGAATGGGCACTTTAGCCTGGCCAGGGGCTGAGAGCCGAGGAGGTGGCTGTTCTGCACCTTCATCCCCCCCTTCCTTCATCATCTCCTTCCAAGACATATCTGCCTGGTTGTTTGCTCCATCATCACCTGGACAAGCGGGGTGAGGAGAGCTGGCAGCACCAAAAGCTGAGCCACGGTTGCACAGCTCCTTACTGGGGACCACCTTTCCCAGGGGAGTGGAAGGGCCCTTGGCTCCTCAGCCCCCAGGAGAATACCAGTGGCTGTAGCCCTTGGGTGTCCTCACAGCATCTCGCTTCCCCAGGCAGAGGGACTTTGTAGGGGGCTTTCACAGGTCACTTCTGGCTTTCATCTTTTCCTGTCAATCAGAGAAGCTGGTGCTTTTCATCTTCCTATTTTAATATGAGTTTTGGGGTTTTGTGGATCCCTTTTACCAGAGGAAGTGAAGAGGACACTCTAAATGTCAAGTAAACCTCTTGACACTTGAGTGATGGTGTTTTCACCAGAAGCGCAGGATGGTGGAAAATAGCCTGAGCTGCTTCCTGCACTGCCTGTGTGGGTGCAACTGCTCTGTGCTGCCACACAGCTCACCCCTGCTCTGTCTGCCCCTCACCCCTGGGTGCTCTGCCAGGTTTTGGTGGTTTGCAGAAGTGCTCCTGGTTTTCTCCTATGCCACTATTGTTGCCATGCTCCAGTCACCAGCCTTTGGGTAACCGCACCGGAGAGACAGGTGGAAGGAACAAGACAGTGGTGTCAGCAGGGTCAGAGTTTCCCAGGAAAGATTTCAGTTCAAGCCTGGGAGAAGAGATGCGTCCTTTGCATCCAAGGGTGCTGCCTGGGCTCCCACATGCAAGCAGGAGCTGTGACTTCCTGTGTGACAAGGGGTAGCACCTGCTGTGCCCGTAGCTCGGGCTGGGCAGGCTGCAGGTGCACACCATGCTGTTGGGTGGGAATTGTGGCAACAAGGTCGTTGGAGCACGGCAGCTGCCTGGGCATCTTTCCAACGTCCCTGCCCTCTGTTCCCACCACCCTCAGAAGGGGCTGGAGCTGTGCTGGACTGGGGCCCTGGTGCAAGGCTGGCGTGGGCATTGCTGGGGGTGTCTGGGCCCCCTTGCTGAGCTGCCCATCTGTGTTTTCTCTGGTGGGCAGCTGTGTGCTGCAGGACCCACTCCCATGCTGTCTGCTTGGGCAACATGTGGGGAGCTCTTCTGTGTGCTCCTGATCACATGGAAGATACCAGGACATGGTTTGCCTCTTGGCTTGTCAGGGCAGAAGCCTGGGAGCCCCTCTGCTGTTTCCACAGCTCTATCACATCTTGATACTGGGCATGAGGGCTCCGTGCTGGCAGATGGGCTGCTCCATTCTGGATTGTATTTTGTGTTGTGTTTCTCCCGATACGGCCTTGCACCACTACGAGGAACATCATTCCTGGTTTTCCCTTTGCTTCCATTCACCACTCTGAGAGCCTTCTCTCAGAGACCATCCTGTGTGTCCTGCTACCTGTCCTCCTGCTACCTGTGTCACTGGGCAGTGCTCTGCCTGATGGCTGTGAGTGTCCCTCTGGCAGCACCAAGCTGGGAGAGGGATCTCTGCCTCTTGCAGAGCCTGGGCTTAGCTGGGGTGTGCTGCAGGGGCTGCTCTGGGAAGAGCTAAGCAGAGCATGTTTCCTGCAGGTAGTGAAGATGTCCAGCAGCGACCCTGAGTGCCCCCAGTTCCTCTTTGTGAAGGTGCTGGCAAGCCGAGGGCGGCTGGAGGCGGTGACCCAGCAGATGGGCTACCACCCCCAGTACCTGGACAGCTTCCTCAAGACGCAGCACTACCTGATGCACATGGATGGCCCTCTGCCCTTTGACTGCAGGCACTACATCGCCATCATGGTGAGCCCTGCTGGGAGCTGCCAGAGGGGACGGGGGGCTCTGCTCAGCCCTCTGAGGCTCTCCTTAGCCTCCAGCAGATAGCCTGTGCCGCAGGCTTCTCATCAGGGGCCAAAATCGTGATGTCCTGGAGGTTGAGCGAGAGGTGGGTGTGGGATGCCTGTCCTGCTGGGGCAGTGCACGGATGCTGATGTGCCGCTCTTGCAGGCAGCGGCCCGGCACCAGTGCCGGTACCTGGTGAACCTGCACGTGCTGCAGTTCCTGCGGGCAGGGGGTGACCCCCAGTGGCTGCGCGGCCTCGAATTCATCCCCCCCAAACTCCGCAACCTCAACGAGATCAACAAGATCCTGGCACACCGGCCATGGCTCATCACCAAGGAGCACATTGAGGTACTAGGAAGGGCTGTCAGCCAGAGACCAGGATGGCAGTGGGGAGAGCAGCGTCCCCAGGGGCTGCCAGCACCCTGTCACATTGCTGGTCTGTCCATGTTCTGCAGAAGCTGCTGAAGATCAGCGAGTGGAGCTGGTCACTGGCAGAGCTGGTGCACGCCGTCGTCCTCCTGGCACACTGCCACGCACTTGCCAGCTTTGTCTTCGGCTGTGGCTGCGAGCAGGACGAGGGGCTGGGGGGCCGAGGCTTGCTGAAGCCACTGTCACTCGGGAACCAGTGCTTCTGCGAGGCCACTGCCGGCAACAGCTACAGCCAGGAGCTGCTGCGTATCAACCGCAAGCGGGTGAGCCCCTGGGGGTGGGTGTGCAGGGGATGGGGGGATGCTGCCGGGAGCACTGCCCTCACCCCCAGGCCTGTGTCTGTGCAGTCCCTGGACTCCTGCATGGAGCTGGATTCCCTCCGGGAACGCATGCAGCGGATCCATGTGGAGACTGAGGGCAGGGATGAGATGAGGCTGCTGCAGCAGGACCGAGAGGAAGGTGAGGGGCAGGGAACGGAGGTGGGTGTGCAGGGTGGGAGTTCATACGGCACACCTGTGTGTTTGTTGCTCCTCTATGCCTTACATTTTCTATGATGTGTGGTTCAGAGGGGCTCCTGGGATGCATATGGGGCAGAGCAAGGGCTGGCTGATGTGGCTGGCGACAGGGCAGCTGGGCACTGCTCTGACCCATCTGCAGGGCTCTCCCCTCTTGCAGATACTGACGGGGAAGTCACTGGTGCCACCAACCTTGCATGCTACACGCAGGACCCTGACTTTGGATACCAAGACTTTGCCCGGCGTGACGAGGATCAGACACAGGTATTCAGAGTCCAGGTAAGACTCCTGCTCTCTGGGTGGGCAGCAGCTTGGGCTGCCCCTCCCCTCCCTTCCCCTCCCCTCCTATAAATAGTGGCAGAGTTGCCCGTGCAGACTGGCCCTGCCCCACTAGGGTTGGGAAGAGGGAGGTGACTTCTGTCCCCAAGGGTTGCTGATTTTTTTCACATGACCCTCATGGAAGCAAGGGTAAAAAATCATTCAAAAGCTGCTTAAAAAGGGATGTGGTTTAGGGCAGAACCACCTCCAGAGCATATTCACTGAATTCTTCTGCTTCCCAAAGTCTCCAGCCCTTCTTCCTGGGAACATGCTCCAGGCTCCTTTTTGCAATTGCAAAATCCTCTTGCTGTGCTCAACAGGACTACTCCTGGGAAGACCATGGCTTCTCACTGGTCAACCGGCTCTACTCTGACATTGGGCATCTCCTGGATGAGAAGTTTAGGATGGTGGATGGTCTGCAAAGCAGTGCCATGGCCAAGCGGCAGGGCTGTGAACCCTCTGTTTTCAAGCGGGGCATCTGGAACTACATCCACTGCATGTTTGGCATTAGGTAGGGAAACCAACCTCACGGTCCAGGGGAGAAAACTGAGCTGACCTGGGTGGGAGGAGGGTAGGGCACTCAATCTGTCATGCAGATGAGCATGGAGAAGGGACAGAGGTGAATCCCCTGCCTGGATGTTGAGATACTGAACTTCTCTGGCCAGGGCAGGGGGCTTTGGGGCAGGGTTTCAGTGCCTGGTGGCTGTTGCCATGTGCCCCCCTGCCCTGTGGCTGTGCCATGCCCCAGGCAGACCACAGGCAAGGTGCTGACTGTGACTCTCCCCTGTGCTCCCCACAGGTACGATGATTATGACTATGCAGAAGTGAATCAGCTCCTGGAGCGAATGCTCAAAGTTTACATTAAAACTGTAACCTGCTACCCAGAGAAGACAAACTCTGAAATGTTTGACAGGTTCTGGAAGCAGTTCAAGCACAGTGAAAAGGTGAGATAGCTGGCCCCTGGCTCTGGCTGGGAGTGGGCAATGGTTGCAAGCTGGGGTGTTTTGGGGGGTGTATGGGAGATCTTTGAGCTGCTGGCCCCTGGCTCTGGCTGTGGTGGGGCTGGGAGTGGGCAGGGGTTGCAAGCTGGGGTGTTTTGGGGGGTGTATGGGAGATCTTTGAGCCACCAAACCAGTCTGAGGCAGGTGGGGGGAATAGAAGCTGGCTGTTTGTAGGAGCTTGTTGGGCTTAGTGTGGCATGGGGCTGCCCACTGTGATGAGACCTGGGCACCAGCAGCACAGGCATCTTCTAGGTCATTATCCCAGTGGTGAGTGCTTCCTGGCGAGCCCTCCATCAAGCTGTAACTCACAGGAGCAGCTGCTGTGGGTATCAGGGACTGTGCTGCTGCCAGCCTGGAATGCTGATGCCAAGTATGTAGGGGACTCCCTGGCACTCAGCCCTGGGAAGCAGCTACAGGACTGGGAGGAGGGGAAAAGGGAAAAAGGGAGCTGCCTGAGCTGGAAGAATTGGTGGCATTTTGATGATGAAAGACTCACTTGCCCAGGTGGGCAGTTGCTTGCACCGCTGAGCACAGCACACTTCAGCTGCCTGAGCCTCTCTTGCTGCTCTGCAGGTGCACGTGAACCTGCTCATCCTGGAAGCCCGGATGCAGGCAGAGCTGCTGTACGCGTTGCAGGCCATCACCCAGTACATGATCTCCTAGATGCTGGAGCTGCGGCAGGGCCGGGCAGCCTCCTCTGTCCCTGAACTCTGCGGGACCCGTCACGCCGGGACCGACGGCGAGGGATTCCTTGATTTAGTTTACTTGACTGTATTGTTCCTTTTTGTTGGTTCCCCCCCCGCCTTGTGGGGGTCACTGAGTGGCCCTGTTATGTGCAATTACCAAACTGTGAGGCAAGTCCGTGCTGCTGAGATGCTGGAGACTTGAACATGTCCGAGGAGGACTGCCAAAAACATGTGGGAGAGGGAAGTGGGAGGGCACTGGGGCCAGATTAGAGGGATGCTCCTTGCCTGGGTGCTGTGGGAGCCTCAGTGGCACAGGGAGGGCAGAGGGGACAACTGGCTTCCTTCCCTGTGCTGCAGTGGCTGCTCTGCTTGCAAAGCCACGCTTGGGCACCTGTCCTCATCGGGGTGGTGTCTCTCACTTGTTAACAGTGCGGGCAGCATGTGGGTGTGTTGCAATGTTCTGAGTTGCAGGGTTAGGCAGCTCCTAGCAAGGGCCCTTCCCCAGGACGGCAGGGGGATGCACTTGCTGCCTGCGTGTTATGTCCTTTAGGTGCCAAACCTTTCTGGGATGGACAAGAGATGACCCAGCAAACTCCAAACTGTGAAGCTCTTGCTGGCAGAGCATCCTTGTGCTTTGCTTTCTCCAGCAGCAGGATGAGAAGGTCTTTGACAGTGTTCAGGCACTCGAGGTTTCTGCTGGGGACTTTGGCAGTCCTAAGCCCCTCCTCTGCTTCCCATCAGCAGAGAGGCAGGAGGAACAAGGGAGGCTTTTTAATGTGGTTTGTGTCTTTTTACCACCATGAGAGGGCTGAGGTCCTGTGCCCAGTCACTTGCTTAACAGCATGGTGGAGGAGCCTGTGGTCAGCACAGGTAAGCTACAGGAAGCTTTTCCTTGAATGTGGGTTGGGGGGCAACCCTGGGACTGCCCCATTTGAACAGTGGTAGCCTGTCCACCAGCCTTGCCCTCTGCCTGGGGGGCTACACCACCATTCCCCCCATCCCCTGGGCTGCTCCCTGCCTGTGCCACAACCCTGGCTGGAGAGGTACAAGGGCACCAGTGCAGGCTCCAGAGAGCAGCCACAAAAGGGGAATGAAGCCACCCATTGTAAGTGGGAGCCTGAAGCAAGGGCAGCTGTCGACTCAGCCAGTGCACGCTGCTTCAGTCGACCTGTTTACTGCGTAAATATACGGGGAGAAAACCTTGTGTATGGAAGCTACAGAAAAAGCCTATTTTTGCTATAAATATATTATGTTTGACATGGATGTGTGCTTTATTTCTGCTAGATTTTGGGAAGGGGATCCAAACTTGTGTGGTTGCTGTGAAGGCAGGACAGCAATGTCTGGCTGAGCACAGCATTGAGATGGCCCAAGTGTCAGGAAACCCAACATGCTGGGGTCATGCACTGACAGCTCTGGTCCATGGCCAGCAGCTGGTCACTGAGGCTACACCTATCCTGTTCAGCTCAGCTCTGTTCTCTTGCCATGCTCAGATAAACAACTGCTGCAGCATTGTGTGTTTGATAGGGAAAGAGGGAAGTTTTTCAAGGGGCTGTGGTGTTCCAGCAAGGAGGAGTGGAGTGTGCCAAAGGAAGGAGCTGGCTGGTACCTGGTCACACGTGGCCAAGGTGGAGGTGCTGCTTCTGCAGCTGAAGAAGAAGAAGCATTTTGCTCACACTCCCAAGCTCAGTGAGCAAGGCCAGGAACCAGGACCAACTTTTTCCTCATCCATGCTGCTGATGCTTTCCCTGCACTGGGGCTAGGCCAGCTTGTACTGGGCCAAGCTGGTTCCTGGGCAGTAAAATGCCAGTACAACTGGTGCTGGGTAGTACCAGCTGAGTCAGTACTGGTGCTGAAACAGTGACACCAGTTCAAGCATGAATGGTGCTGGGACAGCTGCCACCAGGCTTGGCTAGACAGTGCTGGGACTGACTGCTGAAATACCAGCCCAGTGAGGGCTGGGCAGGGATCAGGCAGCTGGGTGTACTGCTCGCTGTCAGGGGTAGCACTGGTTAACCACAGCAGGCTAGCTGCCTGCCAGCCAGCTTGCCAGACTCCCTGCTGTCCCTGCAACAGCAGCTCTAGCCCCTGCAGGGCTGGGACGAGCCACAGCAGCCAGTTCCCCACAGGGCTCACTGCTCGTGAAGCCAGCAGTGCACCTGCAGTGCTGGGCAGCCTGGGGTGGCTCCCAGCCTGCTGCCAGCAGCAGCACCCTCACCTCCCACCACTACCCTGTGCTGGCCAGGAAAGGGACAAGGCAGTGACAGCATGGCTCTGGCTGGGGGTGAGGGGCTGCCTGTCACAGGCTCCCTTTTACCTCATCTCTACACCTGCACTAAGGGCTGGCCTCGCAGAGGCTGCAGGCAGCTGTCACACACTCTCACTCACGGACAAATACCAGCCACACCAGAAGATGAAAGGCTCCATGCTTTCTCAAGCCTGACCAGAAACAAGCAGAGCTGCTGGCAAGGCCAGGAGAGAATGCAGGCAGTCACACACAGCATGCCACAAGTCTGGCAATTTCAGTGCTTGTGTCCTGATCCTGGTGGCCCCTGCATCCTTCATGTGCTTGGGCCAGGATATTCCTCCCTATTGCTCTGTGGCTGGAAGAACTGCCAGAGGACAGACTGCCTCACCTCTGCAGGAACCTTCCAGGATATCCTGCACATGGGAGCTGGGACACTGACTGGACTGGGGATTAGCCAGGGGAGGATGCAGGCACATGCCCAAAGCAGTGTTCCTTGCTGAGTTCCTTGCAAAGCCTGTAGCAGAAAGAAGTGTTGATAGGTGCAGCCAGGACTGCTTTTGTAACAGCTGAGCCATTCCCAAGCTGCATGGTGGGAGGAATGGTGTCCTAGCCCATGGACAATGGTACTGCCACAGCTCCTACAACCCACCCAGTCAGTCAGGCCTCTGGCTGCTGCTCTTACCACAGCTCTGAAGGGGAAATAATAGCACACGAGCTGAGGACAGCTCAGGAGAAGACAGCGTGCACCCACCATCTCCCTGTGCCCCAGCCCTCCTTCCTCACACACCAGCTCCACCACAAAGGACACATGCACAGGGGAGCAGCCTTCCCCACTGTGCTTCCACACGTGGGCCCATCACTGGTGGCACACAGGTATTCATCAACCAGCAGGGGTTGGAGGCAAAGCAGGACTGTGGCCAGAAACCCAGCTGAGCAGAGAAGATGTTTTTGCACTTGCTTCATGTACTGCTGCTCTGCAGGCAATGCACATAGGCCAAAACAGATATGGTGACAAGCTGGGACAGCTACAAGGTCTCCAAGACTCCAAGAAGGGTGCAAACACACTGCATTGAAGCCACAGAACACAGCAGGACTCTTGGTGACTACTGAAGACAGTGTCACACTCATCAAAAACAACCCTGAGCCAAGGCATTCAGGTCCCATTTAGTTCTCCTTCGCAATGCTTAAATGGAACAGGCCAATGTTCAAAGAGGTTAAAAAAGTATTAATGGCTACTGGGCAAATGATGGCCTCCTGTTGTGAGGGAAGTTTTGAACACATTCACTTTGACCCAATCAGCTGCAAAATCTTGGGCATTTTGTGTCTCCAACAGCACCCATCACTATATGCCTGCAAGAAGCCCTAAGTACCCAAGGAACAGATGAGGGGCAGAGTTCCCCTAAGGATTTTCTCCTAATTTTTGTAAATTGGGTTAAATCTTGAAGCCGGACCCTTAAGAGCCCCTTAGAGTTATTCAGTAATTTGCATTAACTGTAGTGAAAAACAGAATTCAAATAGAATATACTGAGTATCCAAAAATGAAAATTTTTGAATGAAAATTTTCTGCCTGTACAATTTTCTGCCTGTACACATATTGTGCAATTTCACAAATGAGTCTTTACCCTCAGAAGTGTTAGAGCATCCCCAACTTGCCCTCTGTGTGTCTAACCCGGCCAGTGGAATCCACAACCTACAGTACTTCCCTCGTTTCTCTCTCATCTCCTCACCTGCCACCACTGCTGCTGACACACAAAGATGTTTGAATGTAGGTATACAAATCAGAGTCACCTTTAGCACTGAGGTCTAGAAAAGCAAGAAATGAAGGGACTGAAATAACTCTAGACTAGTTCTGCAGGATTTAAAACTCCCCAGGGTCAGTTTTAGGGCTTGGCACCCCATGGATCCCCATGCACTGCCAGCAAGTTGTAACAAGGGGCTCTACACACTGCAGAGCACACCAGAGACTTTGTGGGTGGCCACACTGCAACCCTTCTGCCTCTGGCCAACTAAGGGGCATTCACTGAGGGGGACCCCTAACAGGTGAGGATCACTGAGGAAAGAAGACAAGGGCAAGGAAAAATAGCTGGCCCTTGCCATGAGAACAGAACAAACTGGATGAGACACAGAGCAGAGGATTACAGGTTTTTATTTTTCAAACATTCCCCCCTAAGTCTAGCACATTCTACAGTCTTGCTAGCACAGATGGTAACAAAGCCTGTAATGGTTCAGAAGTTACACTGCTACAGAGAGCAAACAAAAGCAGAGATTTATTTAAAAAAAAATTATTGTGAGAAATGGGTGGAAGAGTGCACAGGGGATGTGGTGGAAACCATGTCAGGTAGTGGTGCCCTGTGTGCAGCAGACATCTGTGCTAGCAATGCAGAAACCTTTCCTGGGATTGCACCAGGTGAAGACTCCACTGTGCTGGAAGCACCATTTCACAGAACCACCCCAGTGCCCTATGAAGACAGCTGCTCTCAGGACCAGTAACCTATCTTCTACATAGCCAAACCTCTCAGGACACCCTGGGGAACCCCACGCCACCAGTCCCCCACCACTGCCCTTCTGAAAAGCAATGAGGGCTCTGTTTTTGTGTCCAGAACATCCCCTTCTACCACACACCATAACACTGCCTCAGCCAAAGAACTATAAATGCAACACTGTCAGCTCTGACACCTTCAGCTTCTGCTGCCTCTTCTCCCTGCTTTACACCACAGTATTAGGAGCGATTTTGATTCCATCAGATACTGCTTTCCATCAGCTACAGACACATCAGGTGCAGGGAAAGACAGGCTAGTGAAGAGAGGGGATCCCTTTGCTGAAGGTCAAGTAAGTGTGGTGATGGGTTAGCTCATGCTCCAAGCCTTCACATGGACAGATCTTTCAGGCTTCAGAAGTCACCTCTTTATTGCTTTTCCCCACATTAATTAGAACATGTTTTTCATTAGACATGCAACTGAGGCAAGCCCTAAGCTATTCCCTGTACATGCTCATGTCCCAAAGCTGATTGATTTGCTTTGTGTTTGTTTTTTGTTGTTGTTGTTTTTTTTGTTTTTTTTTTTAAATAATGGATCCAAACTTTCACATTTTGGTTACAGTCCAGGACACCACTCCCAAGGCACTCCTCCTACCCATGGCACCAGACACAGGGTACTCAATCCTGGAGCAAGGCTAGCCCTGAAGCATTTGAACGTGGCTATAAATAAGCAACTAAGTAAGAAAATTAACAAATTCTTATCTACATAAAAGCTTTCTAGGCATTTCTTTTGGAAAAGTTGATTAGTGCTACTTGCTTCTATTATGACTCTTGTTTATGAATACACCCAGGCTCTGGAATGCTTCATTCCTCTCATCAGGATGATCTGAGTGCTGTTTTTAAAGCAGCACAGGATAGGGATGACATGTTTTTAGACACACCAGCAAGGAAAATTAAGAACTCTCAGAAGCTTCCAGTTTTCCAAGCTCTCACATGAAGCTGGAAGTACATGCTTGGAAGTAAAATATGCCTAAATTATAAAGAAAGTTCAAGCAATTTGCTAAACCAAAGTGTAAATAAAAGCAACAAGTCTGCCTCCTGCTAAGCTCTATGGGCCTAGTTACCTGAATCCTTTGTGGCCCTGAGCTGCATGGTGGCTTCAATGCTGTGTAAGATGGCACTTGATCCTCTGAAGATGGAGAAACGTGTTGCCTGAGCTCAGGGAGGACAAGGAACACAGCCTAAAGTAATGCTTTGTGCCAAGTGTCCCCTGCCCACTCCCCGCAGGCACTTATCCAGGAGCACCACTCCCCATGTCACTGGCCCCTTCCCTTCTCACCCCACTCACAGCTGCTCTCAAAATCCCCATCCTTCATTAGAGCAAAAACTAGCCCAAAGTATGGGGCCTGTGGTGCTAATGCAGCATGAAGAGCCACCAAGACAATACCCAGGCTCCAGCAGCAGCAAGTAGCAAATGCTTTGGGCAAAAATACAAAAAACTGGACAAGTATTGAGCAACCCCCTGCCAGGTACAGC